TCTTAAACCTATTCTAAAACCGGAGAAAGGTTCTTCTTCTTCGAAAAACCCCTTTCTCCAAAACCAAGTGATTCTTCAAAACTTATTTCTCAAAATCCTACTTCACAAAACACTCGGGTGATTGTTTCCTCAAAACTCGTTTATAAAAAATCCACATCCGAGTATTTTCTCAAAAAAATTTTTACTCGTCGAAGATGGCTACTTTTTTACAAACCCTATAAAATTGTTCGAAATTCTTTCCTCCTGGATGACACTTCACCCCATGGGACTTATAAAAAAACTAAGCCTACTACATGGCCATCCTAGAAAAAATCAAATCGAGTCACCTTTAAACACTTCCTTACCCCCGACAAAATTGAAACCGCCTATTCCACATGTCGAATCCTTAAAATCATCCATCCTTCGACTAGGGCCAAGACCTTTCTTTACAAATTGTGTTCCCGGACAATTTCAAACCAAGTGTTAACCACTTCCGTTCTTTCTCCTACTCGGGATTATCGATAAGTATGGTTTAATACTATGTTCCTCCAAAATTGCAAGGGAAGTCATTCATGGCTTTTCTACTTTGATACAAAATTCACCTTTACAAACATCCCTATGTGAACCCCCAATGGTGGAATTACTTTGGTCCTACTCCGGACATACTTACTCCAAGCAATTACCGAGAGTTATACTTTCTTCAAAACACAATACAAACCTTCGGAAAATGAAAAAAGATTCACCCCTCTTTTTCTTTTCGCACAAAATTCTTCCTTCCTTGGGTTTGTTCCCGGTATTATGAAATACAATATCAAAACCAGGCTTTAATCCTCATTCGAATGTTCAAAGTAAAATGGTAGGATTCTTTTCGAGTTCCATCATCTATATCCAAAACGGATATTGAAGATTGGCTTACAAAACAAGGATTACTCAAGCCATAATCCTCGATAACAAATTTCCTTGCACAAAAATCTATTGCTAATGCCGGACTTACAACAATAAAAACGAGAAAAGAATACTTCGCCATCATGTCTAAGATGATACAAAACAGGTCAAATTCCTCATAAACAGCAGATTCGGACTGCGAGTTAGAACCCATGATAAATTTAAGGAATGACAACGAAGATGACTCGTTATGGTATATTTCCCCAAGTTCACCACCTATGAACTCTAGGACAAAACTTGCACATTCCAGGCAATTTCCTATCTGCCGACAAAACAGTTTATCTCCGAAACAAAATTTTCACAAGACCATCACTCGTTCATCCCACGTGACACAAGAAGACAAAATTGCTTTCGGCGTCTTACTCGTTCATCGGCACGTGAAGACACCGTAGCAAAGTTACTATTTACTTTTACTCGTACATTTTTACTATTCAAAGTTACTATTCATGATTACTCGTTCATGTCGACTTTCTCTATATAAAGAAAGCTCATTTCATTTGTATTTCAAGTTTTTTGTAAGTTTTTTACTTTCAAGTTTTATCTCTCTAAGTTTTCAAACATTCTCTAGGAAAGAATTCTCTTTGTAATCCCGTTCCTTCAAGATTCCGAAAACTTCTCATGTTCATCTCTTGTAAGGTACTTTTCTTGTAAATAAATAAAGTTTCTTATGTTTATATTTATCCGTCCTTTTCTTCACTAAAGGTATATCGGCTGGAATACCAAAACTCGACTCTATAACGGTACTCGGTATCATCGAGCTTAACCTTGGTCTAACAATGCCACGTACCATTCTGTTTTATTATCTTGTTTAGTGGCTAGCTCGTCGCCCATTTATCTTTAGTTTTATTTATGTATTAATTTAAGTTCTTTTATTTGTTTTGTTCATCTCGCATCTCTATGGTCGGCTCTGCCGTCCATTTATCAATCTGCATTTCATTCATCTTCCATTTCATACCCCGCACCATTTATTAAATCCTTGGGGTTATTGGTATCAAAGCTTTTAGTCGTTAGGCGTTCACCGTTTTGTTGTGAATATGATATGAGTGACAATATGAGCTCATAATATCTAGAGCTAAAATTTGAACTTCTATTTTCTTTTACCTTTAGAGCATAGATATAGGCTTTTGATCGGCCTAAAGTCATAAAATACTCGATTAATTGACTCACGTAGATTAAATTTACTCAAGTAAGTATAGGTTTATAATATAGTAAGACTAGACTTTAGTTTTCACACTTATATACAACACAACCTACTTCAAGTAAAATGTCATGGCAGTGACCTTAATCTTTTTTCACTCATATTCAACTCCTTATTCAAACATACATGCAACTTGGTTTGTTTAGGGTTTCTTGGTTTAGCTAATTTTTAGGTGGCGACTTTGCCTACCCTCCGAGCCTATGTCGTTATAGACTATTTTCAAGATTGCTTGCTCAAATAATTTGATTACGAGTATAATTTTTAGATTATGTCATTAAAATAATTTACCTTGAAAATACTGATAAATTTATCTCTAAAGCATTTAATTATTATTACATATATATTGGAATACAAATTGAACAATCTAGTGCTTATGTTCATACTCTAAAATAACTTGGTAGAGTCATTTATCAAATGCTTTGAATTGATATTTGAATCATTATTTATGAAAAAAGAACTCTTTATTTTTTGTTAGGAGACATGCAAGTTTACGGCTAAAATACACTTTACTCTATATCATATTTTATTCTCACAATTGCACCCCTTCCGTTCCAGGTTTTAATCTTCTTTGAATTCATTAAAAGCAAGAGCTGATTCCTTAGAGGAAGAACATATCAAAGAGCTGTACCATTGAATACTGCCTCTCTGTTTTGTTTTTTTTAAAAAAAAAATTATTTTCCTAGAGTTTTTATTATATAACTAGCTTTTTCATGATTAACATGTCCAATTTTTTTGACATTTTACAGTGTCAATTGCGGAAGCATTCATGTTTTGATTGATTTACAACGAGATGATTTAACCGATTTAACCTCGAAGAGTTAATCTTGATTAACGCCTAACTAGTCCAAAAATTCCTCCGAACCATTTAATAAAAAGAAAAAGATAAGTTGATCCTGACATGATATCGATAATATGGCTACTGGCTCTTGTTTTGAACAGCCGTGAATCCAATTTCTTTTCTGCATTTGTTGCTTTCAGATTTTGGAACTGTCAGCCCAATCTTATCTGTTGATTGCCGCATTCTATGCAGCCTCTGTTATGCATCCAAGAAATAATTGCAAGAAAACTCCTCTTGAAAATAACTCACAGTTCAGCAAAGGTCAAAAACTATTACCCCATTAGTTACCGGTTAGGAATGGACAGGGATTTACAGCCTGTTGGCCCGGCTCAGATAGAAATATGACCAGGCTCAGGCCAATCATTTTAAACCGGGCTGGCCCATCTGATTAAGGTGAAAAAAAGGAGGAGGAGAAGAAGAAGAAGAAACAGTAACAATGCTGGATTCTTTTAATTGAAAGTTGAGTGAATTATTACTTATTCTCTATAATTTATCAAATTAAATAAATTAATTCAGGTAGTGTCAAAAATAAGTAAATAATTTTTTATGAATTCTGATTTGTCTCTCCTTAAGTTTGTGTTTTCTCAATTTACCAAAAACATTTGATTTGTATCAATTAAACCTCATGTCTTTCATTTTTTTGCCAATCAACTCCTATACTTTTCATTTTTTGTTTCAATTAGCCATCATATCTTTCATTTTTGTTCTAATTTTCTCCCAATCCATTTTCATCACACGCTAAATTTGAATTTCAATCATAAAGTTTATGAAATATCTCAATATTATTCAAAAAGTAAAGGAAAAAAAAACTAATTGAAATTAACAAAAAAAAAAATCAATAATTTTTTTTACTAAAACAAATATGCTAAAATTTGAGTGGGTTAGTTTCGTAAAAAAATCTTCAAATCCTAACAATTTTAATTCTCACTTAACACAGTGATTAAATATTTAGTTTTTGAAACCGTGAGAACTAACCAATTAGTTTTGCTAAAATACACGGACTAAGGTATAATTATCTCTTGAAAGTTTCCTATTCATTGTGCTTTTGTTTCTCCTAGGTATTTTCTTCCTTATATATATATATATATATATATATATATAACAGCCTGAAAACAAAAAACCAGAAGCAAGAATACCATATTTGAGAAACAATAAGGAAGGCCGCCCATGCAACCTTGACTTAGCGTCCAGTTACTCTAGTTTCCTCAGTCATGAGGACAACCCTCCATTGTCTAGATTAAATTACTCTTAGGTTTTCCAATAACCAAAGAAAGAAACAATGGCATGCCACATATCAAAACTGCTAGGCCACATCCTGAGAGAGATTTTTTAAGACTTCCAATCACTTGCAAGTCATGGTACAATTGTCTCTTACTCTTGTGAACATGGACGGTACTATAACAATCTATAAATAAAAGAGGGGGAAGAGGGGGAAAATAAGGAGGGGACAATCCAGCCTGGCTCACAAGATGGGAGGACCAAGAAACTTAAACCCTGGCCAAAAATTCACGAGAAAACCCTCTAGCCTTTTCGTATTGTGCTGGCCTTCGTCTCACCACACTGTGTTCCCTTGAATGTCATGGGAAATCTTTACACTTGAATCTCTTGGCCAAATTTTCATATTCACCATCACCAAAGGAATTCTCATTAAGCAACTCTTGTAACCGTTTGATCTTGATTAATGAACGCCAAGATCACAACCCTATCTACGTATTAAATCCCATGACGAGCGAGTATATGAGTCTCCCAACCTGTGAAAGGGAAAGGGACATGCCAATAATCCTATGTGGACTTGGATTTAGCCATAAAACTAACCAATTCAAGGTGGTTGAGAGTTACATATCGTAAATCTGGGATTCAGACAAGAGCCCTAAATGATGTTGATCACTAGAAAGCCGAGGTATACTGCCGTGGCACAAGTAGCAGCTGGAGAAGCAGCAATGGGGTTGTCCCTCAAAGTTAGGGTGCCCGAGGACAAGGGAGTGGGAGTTATCATATCGTCTTGCTTAATGGATCTCTTATTGGTGTTTGATGGACGAGAATGGTGCTCGCACATGGGCTTTTGATTTCTCGAGTGAGCAGTTTAGATCGATATCATTGCCTCCTCCCTTCGAACCCTGCATATCCTACAAGGGAACATATTGGGGTTTTTAGAGACTCCTCTATTTTTGTTATCCCATGGGGGTATCTTTATGAGGTATGGCTGTTGAAAGAAGATCATGATGGGGGGAATCTTGGAGTAAAGTATTTCGCATAGACTCTCAATCCACACATTCTTATCCTCCCAATGGTGAAGTTATTACAAAATGGAGATGTCTTATTTTTCGTTGACGGTCTGATAAGGTTGTATAATCCTACCAACAGGACTAGCTTTTTCACTCAAAGATGCGGTCGGGGAAGGAGACAGCTCCAAGATTTTAAATGCAAATTCAAAATAAGTTAAGACATTTATGTTCTTCCTACTGATTTATTGCTGTAAAGGGGGTTGAAGTTAGAGTCTTGTTGTCAAAAAACAACTAGAAAATGAGCTCAATGGTGCAAAGACTATGCATGGAGCTTCGAAGATGGATGATATTGTGCATGTATCTAAAATTTTTAACCTAAATCTTTCTGATTTGATTCTTAAGCACTTGTTTTTTAGTGTTAATTGCATAGTTAACATTACAACTATGAACTTTCACTAACACATTTTATTTTAACATATAAGTTAATAATTCTAACTTTTTTTTTTTTTTTTTGATAAGAGGAAAAAACAATCCTAGAAATGTAAGTCACACCGCACAGAGACTCATCCTACCGTTCAATTATTTTAATTTCTAGCATAATATGTTATTTTTTAAACAATTATTAACTAATCTTATGGTTCATCTAGTGACCTAGAGTAGTGATTCAATCTCTTGGTCCAAGTCAATGTTCGGTCTGAATTAATAACATTGCATGCATTTCAATTTGAGCTTAGAATTCTTTCTTCTATTATCTTATGCAAATGTAATTGATATTTATGTCGTATTTGTTGTTCTCTATAACTGGACTGTTTTTACTCCATACTCCTGTTTTTTGTCTTCTCTATCACCAATCTTAAGGCTTAAGCATTGCCAGAAGGTGGAAAATGCTTCTTTACTACTTGGGAATCTGTACTTGTAAGATAGCGGACGCATGAAAGCAACCACTACCACAAAGATCAAAACTTTACTGCTTAAAACCAATTTGCACGACCACAACCAACCCCCAGCATCAATGGGGTACAACCTCCTATGATTAGTGGACTGTTTACAGCAAGAGAGATGACTGTTAAAATGAAGAAAGTCACCCCTAATCACCAGTTGCACCAATGTCTTTCCTTATGCACTTTTATTCAGAGAAAATATTCAAAAAATTACAAATCTCAACAGCATGAATAATTTATGTATCATCCGATGCATACTACCCCTTCCACAACTACGCTGCAAAATCTATAAATTGACACCTACCAAACAGGACTGTATTGTCTAACAATTTTATCACCTAATTCAGGTTACACATTGTATCATACTTTCTTTGAAATATAAGAATTTCCTACTAGGAAACCAATCTTCCCTAGCACACCAATCATTATCTGTACCAACCATGACAAATTAACAATAACAATATGACATACCAGGATAGGTAAGCGTGCATTGTTGGATATGCTAGAGGATCCCAAACTCAAGCTCTCTGAAGAGTTTTCACCCAATTAAAAGACTTTAACTGGATTTTCCTTTTCAAGTCTCCAGACAGATGAGGTCCAATCAACAATTAACCATCCCCATATAGGGCAGAGCAATGGTTCACTGATTAGCAATACACTGATTAGAAACTGCATCCTTAAATAACTGAACCTGGTTTCTCTGAAATATTTACCAGCAAAGGGAACAGCATCTACTCGGCTGGGATGGGTTCCAATTTACTGTCTCCCATATCTGTTGTCTTTAAATGAGGTTTAGAGGGGAAGACAAAAACAGTAGATGCAGCAATGGAAGGTTGAAATGCAGCTGAATATCTTACTGAGGTCACCGTAACTCGAGGCAATTGTTGCGAACCTGAAGCCAATGGCACAAGCTTATAGCTAAGGGTGTGCTCAGATTTTGGAAGAACAAAAGCTGTGTCACTGTGAGACCCAGATAACACAAAACTTTGTGCATCTCCTAGTGAGAACTTGACCTCTTGAAGCAACTGTGTTTGATTCCGAATTTTAACCAAGTACGTAAAGGGATCTCCAAGAACAGCAAAAGGAGGGCATTCCAGATTCAATACCAATGGCGGTGACTCTACTTGTACATTTGGAAGTTTATGTTTGGTCAAAACCCACTCTTTTGTTGCAGCAGAAGTTGATAGACCTTCCGTTTCAGAATTTCTCCTCCATCTTAGAGACACTGATCCCAAATCAAGACTGGAAGATTCCACTTTAGGAATGACAGTGAAAACCTTTTTGAACTCTTCTCCTGGAACAAGTTGGGCTGGACGTAAAATATCCATGCCACTATGTTGCAAGGTACATAGCCTTTCAATTGCATCATCCGCTTCAATAGACAATGACTGTAACAGCAATGGCACCTCACTGCAGTTCTTGGCACTAATGACTAGTATACTAGTTTCATTCAGAGGAAGCGATGCCAACTGATCAGAGCCAGGAACAGACTTGATTCTTGAGAGCAACAGTGGATCTTGGCGGAATGGCAGCATAAACTGATGGCTAAACACCACGGCAGTCTTTCCTTCAATTTGCAAGCTCTTGTGCACATGGATTCTTTGTGAAGTTGATTCATTGCTATCTGGAAAATAGCCTAAAGATACAAAGAGCATAACCGGTTTGGGTCGATGCCACTTAATTTCTAGTTTGCAGGACCATGAATCTCCATCTTTTAAAACCGGAACAGAAACCAAACCAAAAGACTGCTGAATTTTCTTGATTTTGTCAGGACCCACTAGAGATTCATCTTCTCCTTCTGGCCCAGTAACTCCAAGAAGTTCAACATGATGGCTGTCCATAGAGAATGGTTCTGCTTCCCTAGGACTAAACAGCCCACCTCCTTTTACATCTACCAGATTGATTTTCAACTCGCCGGAAAAAATGGTGTGATCCTTGGAGGCCACAGTAACAGGAATTGTGAAGCATTCACCAACTAATGCTGGCCCAGTAGCTCCTAAAATAAGTTCCACTTGTGGTTCTGGATCTTCGACCTGGGCAGCCTTCTGACCAGAAAGTGCAAGAGCAGGATCCTTGGTGGGAAAAGTTTCGACCCGGTCTTCAAACTTCCAAAGAGGTAAATCCTCCATTGAAGCAGGACTTTCAGCCCCACAACAGATTGTGAAGTGGGGTCTCATTTTTGCAATGACATATATACACTCTAGCTTCCCACTTTGTTCTGTGTTAAACCAAATATTGACGTTATTAACATAAGAGCTAACTGATCATACTGCAAGGAATTCCTTGAACAAGAAGAAAACATGATAAGAAGGTCCAAATGTTGAATCCTTCAACACAATCCATCATCTTTGTCAATAAGGGAAAGGTGGTTCCAATTCAAACCATTCAAATTGCTCGATTAACCATCTAGGAATTTGAAGTTTCATAGGAAAAAGAGCACACAGTTACATACTTACATCAACACACACATATGGACATATTTTATAGGGCCATTTATGTCCAAAACCAATAATGAATTAATGAGAAGTATTAAAGATGTCCCTCTCGATCTCTCTCAAATGAAAACATGCACATGGACTAGGCTAAAATTCAAAACAGGGGGAGGGAGACACACCACCAGATTGTAGAGGCATTGTCCATATACGGCAAAGCCCAGATCAACAGCATGGAGTAGATTACCCCAGTGTACTGCTCAATATAGTAAAAGAAATAAGAGTCGGGGGGTGGAGAGAAGAAAGCAGAAAAGGGGGAGAAGAGAAAAGAGGGATGGTAGAAAAACAAGAATATCAGGATGGGAAAAAAAGTTTAATCATCTCAATCTCAGTGATTAAATTGAAACCACAAGGCCGCTGCTTCAAAAGATATGGTAGCTGCTCTTATTTAGGGACCCAAACCTACTAAAAATCTAAAACAAAATAGATATAGGAAATCCTAAATAGGAAATAGAAAAAAACTAAACAGGAAAATAAACTTCAAATCTTAAAGAACAATTAAAAATCAAATGCAAATCATCAAATAGTGAAATAATAAACCCCAAAAGTCTAAATTTATTCTCCTTTACTACCTGGTTCAAGACTTCCTAAGCGAAACCATTTCTCATTTGCGAAGATGCCTCTTGTGTAAATTGTGATGAGAATATAAAATTAAAGATTGCATATGAGAAATTAGCTGACCTGGTTTGATGGCATATGTCAACCGTAGCCATTTGTTTGTAACAAGTGCCAAAGAAGGAGCCCTTTCAACCCGGCAACCTTGTTGGCCACTGTATATTGCAGCTGACGGTCTTTCAGAATTGGTGATGACAAAGTTACATTCTGATCGATTAAACTGTACTTCTAATTCATCTATATCAACAGTAAGAGGTAACTGTGAGAGAAGCGACACTGTAATTGAGGTGGATACTCCTGGCTTAATCATCGGTTCATGAAAAGCAACAGAAGCAAGAAGTACCAATCTAAGGGGACTGACAAGATCAATCTCAAGATGCAGAGGATTTTCTCCATTCACTTTGAGATCACTAATACCTTCAACTGACGCTAATCCAGTTTCTCCACCAACAAGCTCAAAAACCTCCTTGTGTATAATTTCTCTCTGCGCAAGACTTGCAGGACCAACTGGACCACATTCTTTACGCCTGAAAGACTGGACCCCAGAATCAGATGACACTGGCAATGCAGCCAATTGAAGAGAGTACTCAACAAACTCTTTCACTGCACCGCATTTCCTCGAGCACTCTCGCAAGTAACCCAAGACCTCCCACAATAAAGTGACCCAACCCTCTTGTCTGTATAGATGCGCAACACTATCAAGTAATTGTTTTGCGTTACTTAAATCACCCGCACCAAAGTATTCCTTGGCCATGTGAAAACCACAGAAGTAGGCCATCCTCTGGGCTTTGAGAATAGAGAAGGATTCATAAGCTTTTCTAAGAAAAGCAATAATCTCAGAGGAATCTTGAAATCTTTTCCCTTCTGCAATAGCATAATGAGTATACTCTTCATCAGTAAGGCTGCAAATTGAAAGAACAACACAAAGAATTAGTAAAAGTAGATAGCGCAAAGCAAACATTTTGAAGACTAATCAGTCAAACTTACGATTGCATAGTTAAAGCATCCCCTTGCTCAAGAAATCGAGCAAACTGACCCACATAAATAGAAGGTCCTACAGATTCAGCATTACTATCAAGTTCATCAGCAGTTTCTGACATTGTCAGCAAAAGTTCCAAAGAAGTTCTCTTCTCCTTCAAGTAGTGTGCAGCTAACTGTTTTGAGATCAAATGTTGTGTTCAACTCAGTAAAATGTAGAACCTGATTAAAAAGTATAAGTTTCTAAAATAAAGCAGGATGAGATCAAGTTGACTCATAATTTAATTTGCAAGTTTTGCAACTAGACTCTTCAAAATGAAGGTACAAAACTGACAAGATAAGATACACTAAAACCAACATCGTTGCCCAGAGATTGGATTGACTACAGAACCCATTAAACAAGGACTGTATCTTGTTTTATGTGAGGTGCATTTGTGGATAAAAATACCGACAATATATAGAAAACAAATATCACAGCTGTGGTTGTCATCCCAGACTTACAAAGTACTAGGAAGATGCTACTGCAATACACTGACAGTCTGGCCATAGTCATTAGATTGTTATGACAGGTATGGGTTGAAATATAACTTAAGACAGAAATCAAGAAAGGTTAATATGCATGGCAAATCCATGAACCATCAGCTTAAATTTGGGATTTAATATAATATCCAAATATTTCATCAAAGCTGTCATGTATGGTCACACAAGAAACTCCTCCGTGTTTATCTCCTCAATCAGTGGCATCGAAGCTCATAGTCTGAATGAATAAATGACATTATGGCATGCACTACCATGGTTTCTCTTCCCTTAGCCGAGTGGCCTCTTGGGGATCTTCATAGCAACAAATCATTAGAGAAGGATTTTGTTGAAGTTGGGTGGTGCTAAATGCCAATGGCACTAATTCGTGAGGGGGATCCTTATTAGTAATGGGTATGAGTTAGAATTCTACATCAATTATGTCAAAGAACCATTTCAACCCAAAAGTTTAAGTTGTAGGGTGAGGTGGTTTTATATTACTCTCTAACACACCCTGTCAAATGAAAATTCTTTAGCCTTGAAACTTGCACAGGCTTACCACTACCTTGTGCTGAATTATTTAATTAGAAGAGAGAATGAGAGTAGTGAGATTTGAACTCGTGACCGTTTGGGACATCAAACCCCGATACCATGTTAAAGAACTATCTCAACCCAAAAGTTTAAGTTATTGGATGAGGCCCCAAGAATGGTTTTATATTACTCTCTAAAAAATTAGAAGCCAAGGAAGTTAATGAGCAACATACTTAAAAGGATACATGACACCTTTGCTTTTGACATTCCAGTTAGGCAAAAAATATACCATTGAGATTCTCCTACATTTTCTCACAAGAAACTTCCCAGTGCTCCCCTCGTCAACATAAAATGGACGACAAGCATGAAAAGAACAGTTCTGCATGTTTGTTCACATCAACTTTTTTGCTTTATGATTCTATCACTACACCAGACCAAGGGTTGAAAGCTTGTCATCTAAATGACCCTCAATCCACCCCCCCACCCCAAAAAAAAAAAAAAAAAAAAAAAACCAGTCTGATTAATTAACAATTTCAGCATTGGTCAAATTTTAGACCACACTAACTTGCCCCCTTGTTATTTCAAAATGAGAATGCCAATCAGATGATATAAATTTTGGTTCAAGTCTTTTCTCGTCTTTCCTCTAGCTCCTCCACATTTTTAATTAAAGAAGGGGTGACAACATTCATATATCCACCGTAATATGGGGGAGGCACCAGTTGCTCCCAAGCACGATAAGAAGTTAAAATGCCAGAGTTTTAGAAGGTTACTCACCTGATAGTAATAAGCTGGTTGAAATTCCCACTCAGTCAAAGGCTGGTCTGCAGTGCCTGAAGTTATATTTGAATTGCTAGGGATAGTTTTTGAGCTTGTCTCAAGCAATTCAGCAAATACCAGAAATTGTCTGCTCATCCATTCCCAGTGAAGAAAAGACACATCTGCAGGTCCTACAAGCCTCCTGTATGAAACATTATGCTGGCGAAACCATGTAATTGCTTCTACCATCTTTCCACCATGCAATAACAGAGTTGATATTTTGAAATGCAATTGCTCTGCGACAGTTTTTATCTGAACCAAGCGTTGAATCAATGGCAACTTCCTTGCTGTCCCAACCATCTGATTACATATTTGTTAGTCCAAGCAAGGAATAATAATTGTGACAACATTCAGTAGTGTGAACATGTGAACATAGATAAACGATAACAAAGAAGCGTTTGAAGAAGAAAACGAATTAAAATTATATGAGTATATGAATCTACCTCCCGCAATATATGATATGCATCCTCATAAAACCTCAAAGCTTCAACCCAATCTCTCTGGAACTCTGCATATACAGCAACCTAGCAATTCAAGACACATAAAAAAGAACATTTTAGACTGACTTACAAATCAACTAATGTTTGAATGACAGACCTTACATATTGTCTTTCAAAGATGTATTAGATTCCATAGATTATCTCTAAGAGTAAACAATTCACGAAAAAAAAAAAAAGCAACAAAACACTGCAAGCTCAATCCAAATTTGTCAGAGAATCAAAGGGTCCTGTGGTGTTTACTGTTAAGCATAATCAAATCATTCTTCCTTACTCCAGAGAGAATTCACTAGTATCACACAATTAATTTCACCATATAACTATCCACTTTCACTAGCATAATTTAATAATGGGATCACAAGTTTTAACCTCTTGATCAAACAAAACAAAAACCCTTACTTTAAAGCAATAACGAACATTCAACTCGTGAGAATTGAAACTTTTCTTTTCAACACGAGTTTTAATCTTCCTCCCTTCTTCTTTATAATACACATTCGCTAATTCTGCAAGCGTGCTCCTCAGCCTGCAAAATCCACACTCAACATTCACATTGACCACAAAAATACATAAGCCACCGGACATCAAAACAACGAAAAAAATTACAGCAACATGCCTGTAAAATGATTGTTTTAGTTGCGAATCATCACTATGATTGAAAACAACGATATATTTTGCATCAATTTCTGCACGCTTGCGTAATGCAATCATTCGATCCTCACTTATCTCCTCTGCATCATCAGTAACAATCTAAAAATTACCAATATTATCAACTTATTGCCTTAATTAATTACAGAATTACACCAAAAAAAGTTACCATTAGAAGAAGACGATTGCACAACCACAACAGTCAATTTGATATTCTTCGGCCGAATCACATTTCTGCTCACCAATTAGTAAATAATACGAAAAATTAACAAAACGGAGAGAAATTATTAAAAATAATAAAAAATAATAATTTTATTTACTTGAGATTTTCAATGTCAGAACAAACTTGAAGCCACTGAGCAGGATCGCCGGAAACATGATCATAATTGAAAAAGGCGGCGACGACAGCAGGAATTCTAGTGCGATGTTTAAGTAACCAATCTTTCTTCAATATTCCTCCATTATCACCTGATAATGGATCGGATTTGTTCGGTTTAGAAAGGAGGAGAGCGATTTTCGAGAAATCAGGTAAGGCTAGTGTGTTTATCGGTGGTTGTTCTGCATTGAGATAAGAAGAGATCAGCGCGTGGTGCTCCGCGCAGCCTACCAGTGACACCAGTGCCACCGGCGGCGTGCGCAATTCTTCTGGATACTCTTCCATTGCTGCTTCCTTTGTTGCTGAATTGACTTAAATTTGTTTTGACAGGTAGGTGAAGGATCGAAAGAAACGAAAAATTTTCAGGCTCTTTTCTGCCGATGATTTCTCAGCAACGTTGAAGGAATTGGCATTTCCATTTTTCTCGATGCCAATCTTTAGTGGGCTTGGTGAGGCTGGACCATGTGATCCACAGAAAATTGGATCGATTGACTGTAGGCTGTAGTGCGCAACACGGCCCTAACTTATTAGCTCTCTTTGGTGGGCTTGATGAGGCTGGACCATGTGATCCACAGAAATTTGGATCGATTGACTGTAGGCTGTAGCGAGCATTACAGCCCTAACTTATAAGCTCTCTTTCTCTTTTATTTATTTATTTTTTAAATTTTTTATATGCATAGTTTATCTCAAATTACAGTTATTATTTTTTAGTAAATTTTACATTATATTAGATGTATTATTTTTAATATAATCCTCAATACGATACGAATGGTAAAAAGTGCCCCACGTAAATAAATAATACAATGTTATTTCAACTAGTTCTTTTATTCTTTTTGAATAAAATATAATTTAGTTCCTCTCGTTTTGAGAAATAAATTATTTTTAAATTAATCATCTAATCCTATGTCGTTAAATTCTTAACAAATTCATTAAATTTATATCTAATACCTAAAATACTCATTTAACATATAAACCCATCCCATAAGGAAAACAGACCTCACTCTCTCCTCTATTCTTTGTTATATTTGTCATAGTGCTTCCTTTCACTTTCTCTCAATATTTTCGTTTTGTTTAGTTTAATCTCCATATCTCTTAATACATGGATGGTGGTTTTGTTCCTAGAAATGAAACAAAGTCCATTCTCTCTCTTCATCTCTTGTTATCTTGGTTATGATTTTTGAATAATGACGCACTCTCTCATCTTTTTGTTTTTCTCTATAATTTGTTCTTAGTTACAAAATTGACTTGTTAATGTTTGTATGAATTTGCTTTTGTTATTAGCATATTTTCAAGTTTTACGTTAGGTTTGTCGAATTTGGATTATTGGTTAGAGATTTTCAGATTTTTTAGGGTATGAGTTCAAAAAATAAAATAGATTTTTCATATTATATGGTGTGTTAATGTCGATAGAATGTGTCGAATTTTTAAATTATTTATTGCAATTTGTGGTTTGTAAATCTAGGATTTGTAAAATTAGAGCTTATTTATTTATTTTTTGTAATGGTCTTGTTAAGTCCCAATCTATGAGTTTAAGAAATAAAAATAAAAAATTGGATTTAAGAAATACAAAAAAGAGGATTAAAAAAATAAAATAAAAGAAGACAACGAAGGAGAAAAGAAGATAAGAAAAACTTGAGATAAAAGACAGTGAATAGAAGAAAAGAATAGAATCGGCAAAAATGAAGAGAAGTGGGAAAATAGAAGAGGAAGAGAAGCACAATTTCAAGATTTGACATTAGTTTTATATATCAATAAAAGGATTATTTGGAAATAAAACATATTTAAGCAAAACAACTCATCACTTTACTGACACAAAAGTGACGAAAGAACTAAATTATTAATAATTTTTTTTAAAAAAAGAACTAAGTGATTTGTTTTTAATACGACAAAGACTAAATAATTTATTTCTCAAAACGACAGAGACTAAATTATATTTTAATCACTCTTTTTTGTTTTGTTTTTTTTTTTTTTAACAAGTACCTTTTCCAACTGAGGTTGGGAATTTCATGCATCTTATCTCTAGTACTCCAGTACCCATAAATATGAAAATCTATAAGAAGAAATCCCCCTGTTCTCACAGACTAAATTATAATCAGTTTAATATAACTTTATTTCAAAAAATATCATATTTTGTCATCAATCCTTTCACATTTTTTTATTTATTGTATTCCTTTTTCTATTTCTTAAAACAAAAATAAAAATGAATTAAAAATGAACAAAATTGATTAAAATGCAAAGACTAAATAATTAGTTTCAGAAACGAAGACTAATTAATTCGTTTCTTAAAACAGAAGGGAATAATTTATTATTTACTCTTCTGATACATCAAAGCAATTCAACTTTTGCACAACTTTAAACACAGAGCAGAGAATTAGCCTTTCATTATATCAGAATATCACAAGCAAAACTTTTAGGTCATCCATTAACAATCAAAAGGTTCGACAGAGGCACTTCACCTCACAAGCGGTTCACATGATTACAATTCCAAGTCAGCTATATTGCTGGTGGTCTTAGGAAACTAAAAAGTAGACAGAACACAATCTAATAGGTACAATGAGATGCGGCTACCATGCTTCAATGCTAATTACTTCAGGGGCAAAATGCACACTCCCATCTCTTAGCGTGCTTCGTATTGCACAACTACAAGAAGAAAAGTTTCCATGTCAAAACACAAATTTAAGCACCAAAGGACCATAAATATCAGGTGTGCAGCGGGCAATTGATGGCAAAAACAACAAACATAGCAACAAGATGCAGTTAATATAATGGTATTTAGCAGCCACACATGAATGTTCTCAAGAAACAACCAGGTGCAAGGTATAAACCTGTGTAATACATCCTGGCTGTGAAATGGCCATGTAGCACTACATGGGCTCTAGGGAATGTTTTAAGCAGAGTTTCCCATGCTTTGACCAACATAGCATACATGCATGCATCATTTACACATTGAGATTGAAATGCTAGGCCATGAAAAGATTCATCACCAACTTACGTGCCGGCACACACCTTTGGATTGAAATGCTAGGCCATGAAAAGATTCATCACCAACTTACGTGCCGGCACACACCTTTCAAAGTCACTAGCTTTCCCCTTCACTTGCATCAAACCACATTAATTTTGAACTTCTATCATTAGATTCTAGACACAACATATAAGCACAACTTTTGAAAGTTCTACCCTGAGGATCTATCTTAGAACAATAGAACTCAATGAGGAGATCATGCAGAATAACCACCGATGAAAAAAACAAAAACCAAGCTTCTTAAAAACAATACCACTTCATTTATAAAACACCACCCACAACCTGCACGATTGAAGTTCGTACCTATTTAACCAACCAAAACAACTAGACAGTAACATAGTCATATTAAAAATCCAATGCTCCTTAATTTATATGCTGAGGTGTATAACAATGTTGCTACCTAAATTCGAAATTTTCAAACCCATAAATTAAACATAACTATTTCATCTGCGAAAAATATTATGAAACCTTAACCAATTGGAAACCAAAACACCAAAGAAAACAATGATAGTGTTCTGCCCCCAGAACAAAGCAAGATTATAATAATCACATAAAAAACTTAAGTTACTAACACCAAATAAATTCCAAAAGAACCTATGACAAAAACATCAAGCGAAGCAACAAAAATTAGTCAAATAAATAAAACAAAACAAAAATAAAAACATACTTCGGCGAGTACGCTTCTTGTAAAGAATACGGTAACCACACTCTCTGCACTGAATGACATCTCCTGGCTTCAATGTATTCTCCATTCCACAATCTACAAAATAAATAAATGAATAAATAAAACTCTACGGCTCAATTATCTTGTGATAAAAAACAAAATTGAAAAGAACCACATGATTTTGTTCCATTAACGGAAGTAAAATATGAAAAAACTTGCCTCCGCAGATGTAGCTGACGGGTTCCGGTTGAGGATCCATGGTTCAACGGAGAGGGCTCTTCGAGTTTTAGGGTTTTTTATTTTTGCCAATTAAACAACTTGGAGAGCGCGTTCGCGTTTTTATATTGTCCATACGTTTTGTAACCGTGAGGAAGTTTCCAATTTTGGGCCTGGGCTGGACGGGTCGTAAGGAAAAATCGGTTTGGAATCTATCGGCCCATTGTGTTTTGTTTCATTATTCCTCTTTTTTTTTCCTCAATAATTCATGTTGTTCAGTATTCATGTGTAGGCTATAATCAACTTATCATACTTTGTCAGTGTTAGCACCCAATTCTTTCCCTATTATTCTTGTTTTTATTTTTATTTTTATTGCAAAAATACAAAAAAAAATGATAAACAAAACAAAAATGCCAAAAAGAGAAAAAAATCAAAGCTTGAATTAGTTTTAGGAGGGGGCTACTAAAAAACAAAAGAGAAAGAAAGTTTGGAAATCAGAAAAAGAAGCAATTGAGGACCCAATTAAAAATTCAAAAACTTTAGTCTCTTGTTTAAATTAAAAGGAGACACAATTGAAAGAAATTAAAAAGAAAAGGCGTTAATTAATTGCAATTTAAGGGCTCCATCAAAACAAAAACCAAAATTAAACTCAAATTGATGGAAGGTAGAGAATCGGAGACCAAATTAGACTTTTGCCAAAAAAAAAAAAAAACCTTGAAAATTACATATAAAACCCTTGCATTTTTTTATCGTCTACTGTTCATTATCACAAAAAAAAAAAAAATGCAACCGCCCCACTCTCCCTCACCACCGCAACTTTTCCTCACCCGAAATTCTTCCATAAAAACCCCCCATCTCCTCCTCACAAACACCCACACGCAAGCTCACTCTCACCCACACCTCACACCCATACACAAGCTCCCTCACACCCGAAACTTTCCCCTCGCCATAAACCCTCTCATAAGCTTTCATCACCTGCACCAACAACTCCTTGCTAAGCCTCTAGTTCCCTCTCCTCGCGCACTCCACTCCCAAACAACCTTCCCACGTCCACAAACAACTACCTACCTCCTCGCAGCTCCACGCCTAGAAACAGCCCTCCGTAGCTCTCTCGACCCTCTTCCTTGTTGCTACCAGCCTCTCCAACTAGCACCCACGCAGCAACGATAGTCCCCACACACGCGCTCCAGTTGCTGCCAGCCCCTACAGCAACCCTTACCTCCCAAGCTCGTGCGCCTCTCCCAATAGCCAGCCAACGCCCACGCAGTAATAGCCCAAGCAACTAGACACTTTTGGTCGTGCTCCACACTCAAGCCACATAAAGTGGCTGATAGCTTCCCACCTGTATGATAAGTTATCGTTAGCTTCTAAATTCATGATTCAAAGTCGTTAGTGACTTTTCACTCGTATGAGTGAAATCGTCAGTGAGTCGCTGCTCATGCCAATAACAGATCATCTATATTAGAAACTCACCTATTTTTCGATAATAGGTCGTATTCACTAATGATTAGCCGAAATTCCAACCCTCCACCTTTCCTTTTTGTGTAGGGAGTATTGGCCTCTAAACCGACCTGAACTCTCAAACTCATTTAAATAGGCATAGTAGCACAACATAATAAAAACTAGATTTTTATGTTCATAGGTAAACAATACATCTTGCCTTAGGTAGGACAAGATGATCGTAATATTATATCTTCCCTATATGTAACCGATCCTTTACTCGGATATCCATGTAGACTAATATATTTAGGGTTTCTTAGTTCTCTCTGATTAGGTAGGTGGTGATTCATCATCCAACCCTCCTTGATGGGTCGACGTCGATAGTGAGTATTAAAAAATTAAAAAAAAAATTGGTCCTTTCTTAATTTTTGGTAAATATGTTTATGAAGAAAAAAAGTGAATCTATAATATTTTATTGTGATTTTTCAAATAAGTATGTTTTTATGCTTTTTTTAAGCTCTCTCTCTCTCTCTCTCTCTCTCTCTCTCTCTCTCTCTCTCTCTACTATATATATATATATATATATATATATATATATATACTTGAAAAAAAATCTTGCTAGAAAAATAGTTATTGTAAAAAACAATTTGGTGGTGTTTAGAATGAAATGGTTTTTCAATTTAGATTTTGAAAGTTTTGAGTGTGCAGCATTCAGAATATTAATCAAATTCCTTCAAAACTATTACTTCATTTAGAAAAAAAAATCATGTAAATAACTACTTTTAATGAATAGCTAAATTTGTCATTATATTTTAGGTGTGATCTAAAATATTTTTTTTATTAATTATCACTAAAAGATATTTTTATTAAACTTTTTGACGTCCAAAATGAATAATAATTATTTGATCCATGAATTTTTTTATTTTTGAAAACCAAAGTATTTCCTCTTAATAGTTAATACCATAAAAAATGCTATAATTATATGATCGGCCTCCTTCTTTATACATTTTGTAAACACATAACAAGCCCGCTTCGAACTAGTTGTGGCTTGTGTTTAACAATAAAAATTAGTATTAGTATCAATAATTTTTGAAAAGTGAGGATATATAGTTTAGTCTTAGAAAATTTGTACGCATTATATTTTTTATGCATTATAATCCTAATAAAACTAATTTTACTCTTGAATAAGATAATTTTCTATTGTTCTAATTCTAATTAAACTAATTTTATTTTTAAATATATGTTCAGTTTCTAATATAATCTTTTAGTAAGATTTTTAAGCTAAGCTATAAAAATTAGTCATGTAATTTGCATGTAAAAGTCTTTCATTCTTGTTTGCAAGAAAAAAATTGGAATAAAAAATACTTATATGCAAATCATGTAACTAATTTTAATAATTTGACATAAAAATCTGATAAAAATGATATATTAACATACACTAACCTAACGTGTATTTAAGAATAAAATAGACTCAATTAATGATCTAAAAATAGATTGAAAATTACATTTTTCATAACTATCCATGACTATAACTATAACTATATATATATATATATAAGCATGAACTCCTTAAAACAATTGATCGACAATTATGTCTTTAATATAATATTAATATTATAATATACTGCCAATATAAATAAACAGAATCAATCCACCTCTAATTAAGGAAAAAAAACAAATATTGATTAAATTATCAAAATGAAAATTATTAACTCCTAAAAATAGGATATTTCTTAGAATGAATCCTAAAATATAAATTAATCTCTTTTTTCATCATTTTTTTTATTCACCTCATAAAATTCTAAATAACATAAAGTAAACTATTTAAATCACTCATAAACTATATATTGTTTTATTGGTATTTTATTATTGCTATCAAAACTCTAAAGGAGGTTAAAAAAAGCTAATAAGAAATATAAAATATTAATCCGAAAATAATCACACTAAATCGAAATTCATCAAATTAATAATTTAAATCCTTACTTATTTTTAACAGGTTACTTTTTGCTATTTTCTTGCATTATATATTTTATCTTTTTGGACAACACTAGTAAAACTAAAAGAAAAAAACACAATATTATTATTATTTTTTTCATGTATGTATCATTAATTTATATTCATATCACATACAATTGAAAGAATTTTTTAAAATAAAAAAGAGTTTCGTAATAATAAAATGTTAAGTGAAAATTTTTAGTTGTTATTGTTTCTAAGAGTTATATATAATTATCCCAACTATTAATTATCAAAATTTAAAAATAATTCAATTCATGCCCCTAATTTTACTTTAGTACTCTAGTAAAAAATTAAATAAAAATTGATTTAATTATAATCATCAAATTTTATATAAATTTATTTGAAAAAAAAACGTGTTTATTTAACAAAAAATCAGATTTATTCGTATATAAATCATCCTACATAATTTATTAGAAATTTGAAAAATATTTTTCCTATAGCTTATTGAATTTATCTCAATTATGGTGTTGTCACATAAGATACATGATGTTTTTTTTTAATTGATAATATCAAGATTAATAAAAAAATTAATATTTAATTAAAAATAAAATTAATTATACAAGTATTATTATTAAACAAAAACTCATGTAATTTAAATAAAATTAATTACACCAGTATTATTAAAATAATTAAATTACACCAAAATTCATCAAGTTATTTAATTACAAGTAATAATATCTATTGGTTAATTTGTTGAATTAAAAATCTCTACGTTTTAATAAATAAAAATATTATTTTTAAATAACAAACCACAGCAAATCGTGGATAATCAACTATCATATGCATCTACATCTGCATACATGGAAATGACTATTATACCCTTAATGCATTCATTACATTATTGTGCATACATGAATAATTATAAATTCTGTCATTGTATTGGTGAAACTTCTTGCTTAAATATATATATAGTTATATAGTTTTGTCAACAACAATAGTCAATATTTTCTAAAAAAAATAATATCAAATTATAGTAAACTTAGTTTCATTGTTCTTGCTATTGGTATATATAGACCCTGCATAGCATTCAAACTAGATAATTTAAAAGATTTAATTTTAATCATAAATTATAATTTTTAAAAAACAATTAGATTGCCATCTCTATCGATATCAACCCTCTATGGAAGTAAGCATGGATGCTTCAAGTTGCTAGTAAGCTCAGGACAATATTTATTTAGAGATTTCATTATAACACTTTGACTATTTAACTCTAATCATCGATAATGCATGGTAACTTGAAATCATGGAAGAAAGACCTGAAAAAGTCTCCCATACGTACCACCTTAGCAATCAGCAGTTTAGACAGTTTCCTTCTCCAAATAAAAAGGGCAAAAAAAAAAAAAAAAAAAGAAAAGAAAAAGTCAATTTGGTCATTTATACGCATCTAAAGTGTCTTATCAAATAATGCATAGTTTATTCTGAAACGACAAATAGCACAAGTTGCTGATTATTTGGAAAAATCATTTCTTGATCAATAATATTTTTTTGACTAATGGACAATCAGAAGAAATACACGATAATTGACAAAAGTTATACAAGGATTAGACATTTTTGCATGGATAGATAAACCTCAACTACACTCAAATCTTATGTCGGCATTGATCGGGTCTTGGAATGATCTTAAAATTAGAGTTTGAAATTCAACATAGAGGTTGAAATGAAGCACCAGAAAAAAAAAAAAAAAGCAAAGAAACATAATTTCTTGGTCAAAATTGTTTTTTTTTCTTTATCTCATTATTCTTAATGAAATTTTATTTAAAGGAAATAAATGATTTAATTTATCTTTATATAATACAAAAAAGTATATAATCTATCTTTATATTTTAAAATAAGCTAGTTGTATTATTATATATTTAAAATGAATTTTTAAGTTACCTTTATGATGATATTTTTTAACAAAACTATAAGAAAAAAATATTACGTGATTTACACATAATAAATTTTATTTTGAAATACTCCTCAAATGAATGAACACGTACAAGTTATCAATCCATCACCATCTTCTCCCCATGTTGATCAGATTTTGGGCAAGAACAAGCACCAAACCCTGTTTTTTTTTTTTTCCTTCTTCCTCTGCTTTTCACTTTAAAACAAAAAATTCAGACACTTTTTCGGCCACTCCAGAACTATAATTTTTTCACCAAAACCTTTACATTTCACCTAAAATGAAGTCTCAATCCATCAATTTACACTCCTAAACCTTAAAACCGACATATTCCACCTTCATTTCACTTTTTTTAAGCCAACAACAAATCTTAATCCATCAACACCAATTAAACCTATCTCTTTCTTTTACTGTTCTTCTATTTTTTTACTGTCCGTCATTTCAAACACTTTTTAATCATAAAAATTCAAATCTACTACCATAAATCCATAACTTTCATCTCAAAAAATTGGTTTGGGTATTTGTTATTGGCTGAATTCCAGCCAATATTTTTTTTAAAAAAAGATAGTGATGCATGTATGGTGATTTACACATGTTTATTCCATCAAATTTTAGTATTCAGATGAGCTAAATGTGGATTCTTCCTTATTTTCTGACATTTATAAAATGTCATCAATATTTTGAAAAGTATTGGTAAAAGTCATGGGTAACATGTGAAAAGTGACAATATAATAATATTTGATCGACGTAAAGTTATCATCAACGTAAAAAGGCTAAATAGTAAACTATTTTTCTAAAATTTGACGAAAAACAAATATTCCTCTTAAATAAAATAAAAAATTGATTTTGGTCTAATATTTTACGTCGGACACACATATATCGATCGTTTAGCTATTAATTGTATCTAGTGTGTGGTCGTTCCCATCTTGTATACTGCCAAACTAACAACACTATTTTTACCAAAGATATTAATTACTATATTATAGCATTAAATTCAAAGCAAAAAAAAAGGGAAAACTAAAAGGGTAAAACGATTATCGCGCATTTATGTTTAGGGATTTTTTTTTTTTTAATTTACAGTATTGGAAACGTAGAATTGTACTTATTGAAAAATTTAAACTTTATCATTGGCGTTTTAAATAGAATCAATTCTATTTTTAATATAAAATGAAAATATCGGAAAAAAGAAAATCAAACGATCATCACACCTATATGTTTACCGTCGAATTGGTGAACACCGTGTTTATTGTTTTTGAATTAAGTCTCATCAATCAGTTTTCAAGCTTGTTTGTCTATTCTTTTACGTTGGGTTTGATCTGAAAGGTTAACGTGCAATGCAGCTTTGACTTTTCAGTTCATGCATGCGAGTATTTAACTTGTAAACATCCAGCACAAGAAAATAAGTAGTAGTTGAACACTAGAAAATTTTGGTAACGTGAAAGTCGCTTTCTCAGGATGAATTGCCCTTTAATTAAACTTATTCCACGTGAGTAAAATTAGGTGAAAAAATAAATTATGTAGAGGGTGCTTGTCTTTTTTATACTTAAAATTAAAAGCACCTCGTAGAGAGAGAGAGAATGTTTGTATTAAAAAAAATATATATCTTGTATTTAAATCTTTAAATAAAAAAATTAATAAATAATTTTAAATTCAAATATTTATATATTTAAAATATTTTTTATATAGTTATATCTATTATATACCTCTGATCGAATAATAAAAAATTAATCAAATTCTTTATTCTGGATTATCCAAAGGATTCAAAAATTAAAAGCACCAAGTGGAAGAGAAATAGAGAAAGAGTTTGTGTGTGTAATGGAGCATTTATGACTAGAAATGATAAATAATATTTGATGTATAAGATCGTGTTGACTGATAGACATGAAAATTTAATTTAGTTTGACTGGAGTTGAGAGGGAACGGGTGAGGGATTCACTCGTCTTGTCACCCAACCCGGTTTTTAATCTCCTTTTTTATTTATAATATTATTATATAATGTATGAAGTTTAATTTTATGATTTATGAAGGATTTTATACATAGATTTGAAGTTTCGACTCTATTTTTTGTGGTTTTACGATTCATGAATATAGATTTAATTTATTTTTTGTGATTTAATTTTTTTTTCCTTTTTTGTGTTAGTTTTTCGTTTGCTGGACGAAAGATAATTGTGTATAAACTAGTCGGGAGTTGTTGATGGTTCTGTAATGCCATTATGGCAGTGCAAAAGTCAGCTTATTGCTCAGGTATAATTGACTTGCATCTATGAACAATTGGATTTAATAGATTAATGTATTATTTTTGACATCTCCAGGTAGATCCAAAAAATCGAGACATATTGTCAATGGCTTTGGGCCTTTAATTTGGCATTGAAAATGTAGTTGGTTGGTGTTAAATTATATATGTTTTCTTTCATTCTCTGCAACGCTTGTGGTCTAGTACGCTCGCTGACCATTTTCCCTGAAACCCTATTTCCAAGTGCTCTATATATTTAGAATCATGCATAATTATACATAAGCAGACATAATTTAATGAATTTATATAAAATAATTTTTTTAATAAATCAAGCTCGAATTTTGATAATTTTAATTTATTTAATTATTATATAATAAAAAAATTATCTCTCGTTATATAATCAAATAGACAATCCATCAAACTAAAAAAAAAAAAAAAGATGTTCGAAATGATTGTATATAAAACAAAGGATCTTTTTGCAAGTTAATCTTAATTAATTTGGTCATAGATGGTGACTGCATGTCGAGCAATCAAAGCCTTCGTTCAAGTTGCTTGGTTCCTATGAGAAGCAGCCGTTTCCTTGAATTTTTTTTTTTTTTAATTTCTAAGGCATCTCTTATTTAAATATCTAGACTAACCTCTTATTATTCAATAGGATATATAATACAAATATAATTATTCAAAAAAAATTTATATATATAAAAACTTAAAATTAAAATTATTTATTGAAGCGATAAAAACTTTTTCCGCTCAAGTTATTTTTTTTTCAATCAACAAAAGAGCGCATAAAGTTGTAGAATGTTTATGGTAACAAATTTGTGTTAACCCAACAAACATGGAAGTCATAGTGAAATCATTTTGCTTTGCCTTTTCCTATTTCATATAGGCTGTTTGTCTACGATTGTATGCTTTGGCTTTTACCTAATTAATTCTTAATAAATCCTCACTTGTTTGACAATAATAATAATAATAAAAAGTATTTAGTGTAGAAAGATAATATAGAAATTATTCCATTCAAGATCACATGGAATGCACGGACGAAAGGTTAGGGTCTATCATTTTGAAAGTCTTAACGTTCAAATCCCCTGAGGATGTGAAAGATAGCTACAATATTATGTGGCTTAACACCCATCAAACCATTCCTTGAAACGAAACAAAAAAAAAAAAAAATGTTTTTTTTTCCTTACCATGAAAGCATTACTTTCATATGCAAAAATAGGTCTGGATTATGGTTAATAATAAGAAATTTTAGAGTATTAACGGAATAACTACCAATATTTATTCTAATTTTATTCTAAGGAGAGAGATAAATGCAAATAATAGAGAGAAAATCACATTTTAGCTCATAAAAAAATGATAATAATATTATATTTCTACACGAGTTCAAAAATATATTTTTTTAACTCTCTCTCTTCTTAGTCTTTATCTATTTTTTATAGAGTAAATATGGGTAATTACTCCTATGATGTCATAATGTTTATATATTAATTCCTATCAATAGTCCTTTTTTTTTTTTGGGATATAATATTCTAGAACAATTATTACTTGAATACGAAAAACATGCTTACAAAAGGAAACACGGAACATGATTCTATAAAGCCTAAGTCACGACTACAAGAAGCCCAAAATTGCAATCAAAGCCTTGGTAATGGTATCCCATGTAAAATGAAAATTTTTGGAAAACTTGACGTTTAGGACAATCCCTTCCCTTTCAGTACAACTCCATGCATATTGGATTATATATATGTTGCATTATCTTTATGAAAAAGTTTGATGGGCAAATTAAAAAATTGAAATAAAACATAAATAAAAAAAGTTGTTATTTTCTTAAGAAAAGAAATCTTTGCTAGCTTATTATAATTAAAAAGACTTAAGTTAATTTGTTAAAAGTTAATAATTAATCTTGCAGAGATAGTAATATCTGCAATACGAGTATTGCACGCATTTGAACTTCTCGACTTGGTTTCGAATCATGTCGCCAGATAATTATATTAGATAGACCTCGGTAAAAAAATTCATATTCAAGTATTAATTGTTGAAGAGTAATATAAAATCATTCTTAAAATCTCGTCTAAAAGCTTAAGTTTTAGGCTAAGATAGTTTTTTTTTTTTTTTAATTTCTAAGGTATCTCAAGCTCAAAAACTCGGACTAATCATTTTTTTTTTTATCGAGTTTATAAAATGCACATGACTATTCAAAAAGTTTTTTGTGTACAAAATGGCTTGAATTCAAAATCATTTACTTAAGCCAATCCAGTCCTTTTGGATAAGTTGAGATAATTTATTGATATAATATCAAATTTTTTATAATCAAATAATCACGAATTCGAATTTCATCACTCCCACGAATTTTTAATTGACGGATGTATTCGAAAGTACTATAAAATCATTCATAAGCATCACCTAAAATTTAAACGTTTGGATTAAGATGATTTTTTAACATTAATTACTAACACTAACAACATTTAGTGGGAAATAAAAATGAAAATTATATTAACTTCAACACATGATTGTCAGTTATTAAATTGAGTTTGGAGAAATAGATACTCTTACAGTACTTAGTGTAATTAATGAACTATGTAAAATTAGCATTTCTCAAGAAGCAAAAACTATTCCTTGTATTTCTTGAAAAAAAAATGAATGACCTGATATTAATGACTAACACTAATAAAATTTAGTTAAATATAATTTTACTTGAAACTATTCATTTACTTAAGCCAATCCAGTCCTTTTTTTCTCTTTTTTTTTTTTTATAGAGAATCATTTTTTTTTCAATTTAAGTTAAATATAATTGTTATCTTTGACAAAGGAAAAAAGAAAAAAAAAAAAAGAAACCAAAGTGATGCTATTTACACTAATACACTAATTGATTCAACTCCATAACTTTATCGATCCACAAAAAAAATTAACCTGAATATAAAATAATAAATCATTTTAGAGAATTGACTAAGGAATAGCATGAAATTAACACTAATAGCAATATTATTTTATGTATATTTATTGGCATTAATTTGATATTAGGAAGTGTTAAGAAATTTAAGAAGAGATTAATTTATCGATAATCTATCTTAAAGGTGTTAATTCATTGCATGTAGTTATTACTATATAGTATTATTATAATTACCAAATTGAAATCTATATATATATATATATATATATTAAAAATAATAACACAAAGGCATGCCGTACATGTGAGCTGCGATGCAGCGCGCCAACCTCTACTGTCCTATATATAAAAAAAAAACTGTCCTATCTCTCCGCTCTTCCTCTCAAACCTCTCATCCTCCTCCTCCTCCTCCTCCCCCTCCTCTCTCTCTCTCTCTCTAGCAGTTATAATTTATCTTTTTACTATCAATATCTTGGCCCCTTTTAATCGGACTTTCGATGCACGAGGTTTTCCGGCCTTCAGCCGAATCAGACGACGGTATGGACAGGCCAGCCGGCGAACCTCTGAAGCCATACCATCGTCACCACCATCACCATGATCATCATAATTTGCAGCCTACGACGCCTTTAAAGGCATCGGATGCGCTCCCATTACCTCTTTACTTAACAAATGGTCTGTTTTTCGGATTATTTTTCTCCGTAGCTTACTTTCTCCTCCACCGTTGGCGCGAAAAAATCCGCAACTCCACCCCCTTCATATCCTCACTGTCCCTGAAATCGCTGGGATACTTTGTTTGGCTGCTTCGGTTATTTATCTTCTTGGTTTCTTTGGGGTTGGCATTGTTCAATCTTTTATCTCTCGAGGGTCCCAGGATTCTTGGGACGTGGAGGAAGATAATAATGTTATGATCAAGAAAAACGGTGGTGGTTGTGCTGCAGAACCTTGTTCGGGTGCTGCAGCATCGCTTGCCTGCACTATTGCTCCGGTTTCGATGGAAAAAGTCGTTACACCAAGGATTCAAGAAACATTGTTATCCGGGGACGACGAGGAGATTATCGAAGGAGTGGTATCTGGGACTATTCCTTCATATTCTCTTGAATCGAAGCTTGGAGATTGCAAAAGGGCAGCTACTGTTCGGCGTGAAGCGCTTCAGAGGATAACGGGGAGGTCTGTGGAGGGATTGCCATTAGAAGGGTTTGATTATGAGTCAATATTGGGGCAGTGTTGCGAGATGCCTGTTGGGTATGTGCAGATTCCTGTGGGGATTGCAGGACCATTGTTGCTTGATGGGAAGAATTATTCGGTCCCAATGGCTACGACTGAGGGGTGCTTGGTGGCTTCTACAAATAGAGGGTGCAAGGCTATTTATGCATCAGGTGGGGCTAGCTCTGTGTTGCTTAGAGATGGCATGACTAGAGCTCCTGTTGTCAGGTTTGGGACTGCAAAAAGGGCTGCCGAGTTGAAGTTCTTTGTCGAGGATCCTGCTAATTTCGACACTCTTTCTGTTGTTTTCAACAGGTTCTTGTTTTTCTCCTTATTCTTAGATGTTTTTACTGATCTTTTTGAAGAAAATAAATATTTCTTTTTTTGCTAGATATTGGACTAAACTAATTAATTAATCTTCTCTTTTCAAAGTCTCTGACCTAAAAATATTAATCTATTAATTTCGTGCAATTGAAAACGGTTCATCTCCTAAGTTAAAGGAACAATTCCAGCCAATAAGATAGAAAGTTGGTAGCATATGATCTTGAATACTGCCTTAGTTTCTCTGTTTGATTTGTTTTTGTTTTTGTTTTTGTTTAAAGTGCGTCTCTGTGTTTTTCTTGGTAGAAGTTTTCTTGTTCTTTTGGCAATATTTTGTTGTTGGTGAATGAAATCTTGTTGATGTTGATGGATTCTAACTTTCTCCATTATTTTTTTGCATGGATTAACAATTATCTGCCTATGCTATATTTATCAACTGCAACAAGTTTTGTTTTCTAATGTTCTTGCTATTGTTAGCTAGCTTGATTTTTATATTCCAAAAGGAAAATTACGGCTGAATGTTTTATTTCACACGAGCGCAGATATTTGATGTGGTAGAAAATATGCAGGTCAAGCAGATTTGGAAAGCTACAAAACATTAAATGTGCAATAGCAGGAAAGAATTTGTACATGAGGTTTAGTTGCAGCACAGGTGATGCTATGGGAATGAACATGGTCTCTAAAGGAGTCCAAAACGTCCTTGATTATCTTCAAACTGATTTTCCTGACATGGAGATCATTGGCATCTCCGGTAAACCCCTTCTGCTGCTTAATTGCCATTTTTGGATTCATTATCTGGTGATATATATAGTTAATGATTCATTATTTTCAATCTCTACTGTTTTGAATTGCTCAGGCAACTTCTGTTCAGACAAGAAACCTGCAGCTGTAAACTGGATTGAAGGGCGTGGAAAGTCCGTTGTATGTGAGGCAATCGTAAAGGAAGAGGTGGTTCAGAATGTATTGAAGACTAATGTAGCCACCTTGGTGGAGCTTAACATGCTTAAAAACCTTACAGGTTCAGCTATGGCTGGTGCTCTTGGTGGGTTTAATGCCCACGCCAGCAATATTGTTACTGCAGTCTACCTAGCCACAGGACAGGATCCTGCTCAGAGTGTGGAGAGCTCTCAGTGCATTACCATGATGGAAGCTGTTAATGGTGGCAAGGACCTCCATATCTCAGTCACCATGCCTTCCATTGAGGTAAAAATTTTACATTTCATTACAAGGTGGAGTCCCTAGCCAGCTAATAAAGCTTATTTCCAACTTACTGGCTTCGCACTTTGCATGGCACGTCTGTGATTCAAAATTCACAAGAATAGGGTGCCCTAGGCCTATATCAGGATACATAAAGAGCCATATTTGTTTTAGTTCATCAAGGGACCACTTGTTTCCTAAAGAGGAAGGCTATGTGTAGAACAGGGCCAGATATAGCATGCTAGTTTTTAAAGGTCTGGTAAATTAATAGTCAAGCAATCAAAAAATTCTATTTTATGAGTTCTGGCATCAAGAGCAAAGCTATAGCTCTCTCTCTCTCTCTTTTTTAATGCATCAACCGTTTGGTTCAGGTGGGAACAGTTGGAGGTGGCACCCAACTAGCATCTCAGTCAGCTTGCTTGAACCTACTTGGAGTGAAGGGGGCTAGCAAAGATTCCCCAGGATCAAACTCAAGACTCTTGGCCACTATCATTGCTGGTTCTGTTTTGGCAGGGGAGCTGTCCCTTATGTCTGCCATTGCAGCTGGGCAGCTTGTCAAGAGCCACATGAAATACAATAGATCTAGCAAAGATGTGTCAAAGATTGCTTCCCAAAATTGAATGCCATCATCCCATCTTTAATTAATTGGTATCACCAGACTTTATCTTATAATGAAGAATCATAAATAAATCTACAGTAAAAGAGATGTGGGAAATATAAAAACCTTCGAGTGGTTGTTGGCAAGTGTCGAGGGGACAAACAAAGAGAAGGCCATGTGGAGGAACTAGTTACTTAGGAAAATAAACAAAGCCTGCTCATGGTGCTGGAACCATGTGACTCTGGTGTGTCTGTTTCCAAGATTTACTAGGTTGCTTACAATTGTGAGTTTTCTTTTTGAAGGGGATAGAGTTTTTATCTCTTTCTCTTGCAAGATATGCCAATTGTTGAGGCTCCTTAGTCCCTACATTTGGTTTCTTTGTGCCAAACTGTGATCTATCAAGTTATATTTAAATTGTTAATTGTATTTTGGATCTGTATTAACTTTAGGTAAAAGAGCATCTCTTAATTAGATTTAGATCTGTTTTAAGCCTCTGCTGTCTGTACTCTAACTTTACAAATGACTGTTATCACATGGTGTTGTTAGTCAGGAAATCAGTCTTTGCTTGTCCAAAAACTCTCTAATTTTGTATATCACCGGTTTTTTATGTACTTTTTTTTAAAAATTATTCTTAAGGTATCCCATATCCAAAAGCTCAAACTAATCTTTTACTACTTGATCGAACGTAGGAGATGGATACAGCTACTAAATGAGCTTTGATTACATGTTTTTAGCACTAAGAAATTGGTTACAAGAGAAACAAACAAGTTCATAGATCACATCTTCTATGTTCCTCTTGATTAGTTGCATTAAATACTTAATATTGACATTTGTGATATTAAGAGTTGGAAAAAATTGTGAAATTGGCGTTGGAGTTAGGCATCATTGCCTGTGCTACTGCAATGGAGGTGATAGGGTAACCCCACCTCTCCCATTAATCAGAGGCTTGAACTAGCTTAGCCCCAGGTGATGGCTGCCAAAAAAAGGATCTATAAAGGATGTTACCCCCAGTCATTTTCTAAAACTTAACTAAAATGGCATACTTGGGACATGATTACCCTATTTGCTTGACAAAAAAAGAGAAGTAGGGTACAGGAACAGCAGGTCCATTCTAGGCACCAAGTCCAGGCTCAAAAGGGTAGGTAGGGAGGTTCATCGAAAAAGATAAAATAATTAATGCTTCGCCGTCTGTGGGAATCGAACCCACGACCACATGGTTAAAAGCCATGCGCTCTACCGGCTGAGCTAAGACGGCTACTTGTACGATAAATATCATATAAAAATAGAATCTATGTTAAAAAGTTTAAAAATGAAAAAACTGAAGTTCAGACCCTATGGCTGTGTTTGTTTTGGAGGATAACTTTCAAAAACATGTTTTTTCTATTTTTTAGTGTTTATTTTATGTTTAGGAAAAAAGGTCAACGGAAAATGATTTTCAGTCAATGAAAAATGATATAGTATGTTTAAAAAAATATTTTTTCAGTTTCAAAAAAGGAAAATATTTTCTTTTTTATGAGTTATCTCATTCTTGTATTACTTACTTCTCTCTCGATATATTTTAATAATTTTTTTCTCTATCTTTTTTTATTTAAAATATATCATGTTAATTTTTAATTATTTCTTATCAATTATTGTTAATTATTTAATTATTTTTTCTATTTTTACTAATATTTGATTTTTGTATTTATAGATACATTAAATATTCTTAAAAATTATTTTTACACCTTAAAATTATTTTTATAATAAATATTTCAATAATTTATCTCTATTTTTTTACTATTATTTCAAACACCACCTAAACTATATTTAAATGATTGAAAATGATTATTATAAGACTATAATTTTTTATAAAAAAAATTAAAATTAATTAATTCATCAATAAATACATTATTTTTTCAAAACTATTCATTTGCAATTAAATCAATAATTTTTAATTTTAATTAATTGTAAAATTTTGTTGGTAATTATAGCGAATAATTAGTTACAAATTATTCCAACATTAATCTTTTGAGACCAAATGAATAATTATCTATAAATGAAAACTAATAATTTATAAAACTATTTTTTAGACTAAATTATCAGTTCAATTTCTAAATAAAAAAAAATGAATTCTTAATTGAGTTACCAAAATAACAATGCTAGGATTACTTTAAATCTTTTTTTACTAAATGTGAATATTGATTTGATTTTGTCCCAAGTAATTTTGATGAATTAGTTTGATAGTTAAAAAAATTAATTTTATTTTTTGAATTAAAATTTTAGAGTTAGTATTTATGAAAATTTATTAAATTTTTCTAAATGTATCTTATATAGTGAAATCGGGAATATGTCTTTTTGAAGTTTTCTTAAAACTTGTTGATATAACAATCACATATGTTTTTGTATTTTAATTTTTCGTATGTATCAAATAAACGCTTGAATGTATTTTTCAGTAATTTTTTTATATAATTGCCAAACGACGGAAAATATGTTTTTGAAAAACAATTTCCTAAAATATATCTTCCTCAAAAATTAATTTTTTTATGAAACTTGTTTTTCTCCAAAGAAACTCAGCCTATAGGTTCAGAAGTGTTCCACTTCATCTCTTCTAGAATTTCTAATGTTAATCCTTGAGTTTCCAAGAGTTTCGATGTGATTATTTATGGGTGATTAAATATCTAACGCCAAGCCAATTTTTTGTAATTGTCTTTCGAATTTGTAAAATTTTAGTGGGATATTACCACGTGTGTGAGAGTTTGGAAAAACTTGAAAAAGTGAAAGCAAATGGAAAAAATTCTCATTAGCTATATATTTCAAAATAACAGAGTTGGGCCTGAAATTTTAGACAGGGATCAATGTGGAACATTGCTGAATCTATAAGGGCAAAATAAAGCTTACCCTTTGTTAAACCATTTGAACCACAGTTCATAGGAATAGGGTACTGAAGGTTTTTTTTTCCCCCCTTCTATCCGAGATTGAAGATCTGAAGTTGGATCATAAAATTGCGGGGATTTCCTCATGTAATGTAAATATGCAATGCAATGCAACTGTAGCCTAAGCTAATTTGTTCAATACTCCATGAATAAATTTGCTCATTCACCACTGAAGCTACTAAATTTCATACATTGATTTTCTATATTTAAATCCTCTATTTTCATTTTTTTTTAACTGAAAATTTTACTTTTTTACTTTTTGAAATGCCTTACTTTAGACTTTTCGTTATAAAGTCATCAATTAGTAACCAACACGTAATTTCTATTTTTTAAAATTTCTCTATAATATCACGTATCGATCACTTATTGATAATATTATAATAAAAAATTTGAAGCCAAAAATAAAGATTCTAATCAAATAAAAAAAAACTAGTCTCGATAAAAAAAAATCCCAGAATCAGGAAGAGAATTTGAGGAAAACCCTGTCACGCATTTACCACATCTTGTGTCACTTGCATCACTTCTAAACAATATCATGTTTTTCGTTCCTCCCTTGATTCAAAATGGGAAGATTTCCGTGCATCAAAGAAAAAACATTCGGTAACAGTGATGACAAACAAAAGGCTTACCTACCAGGTGTCCATTTGGAAGCTTTGACGCTCCACTTTCCAACTAGAGCACCATGTGCGTTGGATCCAAATCATCCAAAAATAAGTTAGCAACAAAGTTTCAGATTTAGTCATTCAATTAAGAAAATCTACTCGCAGCAGATGGAAGCATTAAATATGTCCAACAAATTCCATTTGGAAATGCAGTACTGAAGGGATTGATAATATAGCGGTAATGTCGTATTTTTGACTATGATCCAATCAAAGTCTGCAACATATCTAGATATGCCTGTTATTCCCAGTAACCTTCTATATCCTAGATAGTCAATCACTTTTGCCCTCTTGAGCTCCAAGCTCTTGCAAGTAATGCTCCGCATCCAGCGCTGCCATGCAGCCTGCGTCGTCACAAAACGAGAATGAAAAACCAGGTGAGCTGGATGAAACAAAAGGTATTCGTTGAAGGCAAGTTAAACAAGTATGGTCCAAAAAGGAGCACCAATGCCGTAAAAGTAGATGCAGTGGCCACCATTTACAATCACAATTATCAAAGAGAAGGAATGACACAGAATCTTTTCCTTCCAGGGAAGAGGATGCATTCCGGATAATCATCAAACAAAGAATTGATAAAGCTTAGCTTGTTTGTGGTAAGCAAACTACTGAGATCTAAGCATCAAAAAAACAGATATTGCTCAAAACAGTTTCCCACGTCAAAGCACAAAGTATTTAAAAGTATCAAGAATCCTCACTGCCTGAAAATATTAGTTAACAAAATATAGCTGGATGAAAAAAATGACAGCCAAGTTTAATGCATCTAAATTAAAAGATGGCACAAAGGAGTAAGGCCTAGTTAAGTATCCACTATTTTAACTCATCTAGTTAGTCTCAAGACTGTTTAAAAGTTCTTAAAGCTAGAGAAGAAATCAGGCATTTGTGCCCTAAAAACCAGACACCAAATCAACTGGAGTCTGGAGCTCAGCTCAAGTCACCTAGATTGATCAAACAAGCATGGCCTGACCTCAAATTCAACCTAAAAGGCCACTTAGATCATAATGAAGGGAGGTCAAATAATAAACAAGATGAAATGAAGTTTTCTTCTTAGATTTAAAGAAATCCACATGATCAAAGTGCGTATGCAATCTCATGTTGTTCTACTAGCCTTGGCTCTACCTACAAGAATCTATGCCTCAGATCAGAGCTCAAAGTTGGCTAACACTACTGGACAAAAGGTGTTGCAGTGCAGTAATGACACAGGATGAGTGAAGAAGTATTACTCAAAGATGAATTGTGAAAAATCTATGCTCAGTAGTCTATTGTTTACAGCTAAACACCAGTAAAACCATGCTGCATGAAACATCTTGGAAACCGTACTAGATTCTACAAACCAATGCTCAACTGCTTAATTCAAATGAAGCTAGCGTTGTATAATGAGACAACTGAATTTTAATGGTACCAAAACAAAAGCATCTTCAGGGTTTGATTGAATATCAGTAACTACTATAAATGCACTTCTAATCTTGTAAATTTAAAATCAGCAAAGCTTGGCCTGCCTGTGGTTGGTATAACCCTTATAATCATCTGAAAATTAGAGTTCAAATAAATAAATAAATTTATTTCCCAGGTCAGTCCACCAAATAGCTAAAAATTATCACAAAGTTCTTACTGTCCAAGAAATGTTAAGGGGAGTAGTAACACAAGTTTACCAGAATTAAGAAATGGTATACCACCTTGACTTATCTTAGTTTAGTTCAAGACAGTTTAATTGTCCTTGATGCTTGAGCAGAAATCAGGCACTCATGCTCTGAAACCAGATATCTGACAAACTAGAGTCACCTAGCTTGAGCAAACAAGCAGGGAGTTGATCCCAGATTCATCCAAATAAGTCATTTTGATGATAATTACAAGAGGTCAGATGTTACGTGAGCTGAAATAAAGTTTTCTTGTCAAATTAAAAGATATCCGCATGGTCAAATAACCTAATGTAATCTGATGGTTTACTGAAGTTTCAGCTCAACCTATTGAGAGCATCGGCCTCAAATTTAGGGTTCAAAATCTACTAATTCTACAATGAAAAATAGGATATTAATAAGATACAATGACACAGGATAAGGAAAAGAAAGTATTACTAGATGATAAATTGTGGAAATCTACATTCCATTGATTAACCTGAACCTACCATTTTATGCGTTGAGAGTAATCTATCTTTTATCAGCTAATCGCAACATAAACCATTCCACATGATGCATTTTGGTAACTTACTATAAATTCCACCAGTCAGTGCTCAACTGCTTAACTCAAATGTAAGCTCATGTATCATCTGGATGAGACCACTGAAGTTTGATGATACCAAAACAACAGCACCTAAAGCATTTGCACAAGCAACAAGAACTCCTATAAATTCATTTTTAAATCTAGAATAATTGATCAGTCCTTGCAATTGATGAATTCCATTCCCCATTGGAAACAACGTCCACAACTTTTGTATTTTTATAATATCATATTGAGCAATGCTCTTCTCTCCTAATTCAAACGAAACACTTATTACCACAGTCTTTGACGTTGGTAAAGCCTATGACTTATACAGAGAGGCTTTGATATGATAACATCGAGTAGGACCAGACTACTAACAAGAATCATCATCTAATACCAATCTTAACACAATGGTGCATTTACCAACCTTCCCTGATGGATTCAGGATCATAACTTACACTATGAGTTTTATGCCTACCCTTTAAACTATTAATCAAAATATTCATATTGATAGTGCCGAGAAATCATGATATACGACTCCTCAAAACCAAACAATAAAATTAATCATATAACATAAAAATGCGAGTAAAAGAAACAAACCTGTTCCAGCAGCAGTAATAGCCTGTCTATACTTCTTGTCCTGAACATCACCAGCAGCAAAAACCCCATGAACACTAGTCTTCGTAGTCCCCGGTTTAGTCACAACATACCCATCAGAATCCAACTCCAACTGCCCATCCAAAAACCTCGTAGCAGGCTCATGTCCAATAGCGAAAAACAACCCATTAGCCTTCAAATCCGAAACCTCCCCAGTAACCACATTCTTCACTTTAAGCCCACCCAAAGTCCTCTCTCCATAAGCCTCCTCCACTACAGAATTCCAAATAACCTCAATCTTCGGATTCGACAATGCCCTACTTTGCATTATCTTAGATGCCCTAAATGCATCCCTTCTGTGAATAATATAAACTTTCGATCCATACTTAGTCAAAAAATTGGCTTCCTCCATCGCTGAATCCCCTCCTCCAATCACAGCCAATGGCTTCTCCCTAAAAATAGGAGCAGCCCCGTCACACACCGCGCACGCTGAAATCCCTCTATTCCAAAACTTTTCCGACCCTTCAAAATTCAGCTTCTTCGCCACCGCCCCAGTAGCCACAATAACCGAATCAGCAACAACACGTTTAGAATCAGTGAAAATCTCAAATGGGGTTCTCGAAAAATTCACTTTTGAAACCGTTTCAGTAAAGATTTGGGTCCCAAAACGAGCAGATTGAGCCCGAAACTTGTCAGTCAACTCACCACCCATTATTCCTTCAGGGAAACCAGGGAAGTTTTCCACATCAGTTGTGGTCGTAAGCTGGCCGCCGGGGGCGATATCATTTGCCATCCACCCTTCAAACAAGACGGGCTTTAGCTCTGCTCGAGCGGCATAGATTGCTGCAGTGTGTGCTGCGGGTCCGCTTCCGATTATGCAGACACGGGTCTTGAGCTCTTCCATGGCTGTCGATGATGCGGTGGTTAGTTTGGGAGTGGTGGTGGTGGAGAAGGAAGCGGCGGCGACTGACGTGGTGGCTAAGCCAAGGAAACTGCGGGCTTTGAAGAGAAGAGACTTTACTCTGTTTGGGGTTTGATTCATTCCTCTATATGAAAACTTTATTTTTATTTTTTTCGGTTTTCCCTTTGAAACGTGAGAAAAACGTGGTTTTCCCTCCCAATGAAAGAAGATTTCTACTTTTATTGCTAACGTTGCCAAGGAATGTTATTCCTAATTATGGAGCAATAAATTGATTCCTTTGTTAAATAGTTTGGTTTATCCTTATGCTTTTCTTTTCTTGAAGGTAACAAATGGAATCAAAAACCATTTTTTTTTTTTTTGGTAATTTACAGGGAGTCATCTCTTTAAATAGTTTCTCTATTTTATTTTTTCGATTTTTCTATTATGATTATATGAAAATATTTTGAGAAAATATATTATCAAACACTTCTTTACAATTGAAATATATAAACAATCACAAATAATAAAATTAACCATATTAAAAGCCATAACTAAAAACCTCGGTTATACAAAACTAATTTATGTAGATATTGGATCATATTTAATTATTTATATTTAAATTAGTGTATTTATGAGATTTTTTTTTTGAATTTCATTTTTATTCAAATATAATAAAAAAAAATACTATATGGAACAAATTCACTTAGTATTTGAACAAAGCGAGAGGTGTTTACTTTTTTGAGTGTATAATAAGTTTATGATTGTCTTTTTTTTGGATCTAATGACCTGAAATCAAAAGAAATTTAATTAAAGATTTTTTTATAATAATTTAATTAAAGAATTTTTACGGGCATGTGAATTATTAGAAAACGAATCAAGTAATAATATAAAAAAGAAAGACAACAAAACAAATTTATGTAGTTCGATAAATGTACCAATTCTACGGATGCACTAAGAGTTTTTATTAGATTTTCAATTGATAATTACAATATAAATTATAATATTGATATTCATAGGATAGGCAACTATAATTATCAAAAGAATTCCAATAGATCTATACACTAGCCCAATGCATAATGGGACTAAGAGCTATAGTCACTAACCATATGGAATCCATGAAATGGGCAGCCATTTTAGAATTACTCAAGTACGGCCCATTAACAAATGATTCCATTATAACCAAGCCCAGCCCAAACATGAAGTGACTAGTAGCCATAGTCACCATGAAATGAGAAAAGGTGGCGCCATCATGGGTCATCATCATAGAGATACCCTTCTCTTTAAGTAAAATAATAAAAGAATTAATGGCATCATCATTAAGACTTTAACTTGCTAACTTTTCAGAAAGTCCAAAAATACTATGGCAACAAGTCCTAAATTTCAACAAAAGCTTTGCCTTTTGTCTGGAACCTAACCTTGTTTGGTCAAATAATGGCAAAGTGTTAGGTGCTAATTACACAAACTTTGATGAAAATCATCCTTTCTCACCTTCCATCATCATCCTGCCCCAAAAAAAGATTGTCACTTTGCTCATAATATCACTTGATCATTCTCTAACAATTGCTTTGGACGGCCGCAATTGTTCAGTTTGGACAAAACATGCTTTTGATTTTAAGAACACAAAATCACATGTACAACTGTTCATACTTCACGGTGTTGTTGTAATATTTCTGGACAACATGAGATGAGAAAACGAGGGAACAAAACTAGTATTTGAATAGTACTTTTCTCGAACTAATCTTGCTTCTTTTACAGAAAAATTCATGGCATCCCAAAATTCAGGATTACATATACACAAGGTGAGGAGGGGGGTAGCTTCAACCTTCAACTTTCAAGCACTCTTGAAGAGGCAAAAAAAGAAATCAAAATCTAACACAGGGAAAAGCACAAAAGAAAGACAGAAAAATCAAATACTGTAATGTTTTATACAAAAACATACAATGGATATGAATAAATTATCTTGGGCTAACTTGTTTTTGTTCCACAGAAATGGATGACCTCTTGATGAACTCCAAGCAATCTGCAATGGCTTCAGAGTAGAAAGAATTTGATCTTCCAAATGATCTGAACCTGAACTGGTCATCTGATCCTTTTCCCATGTAATGGCAGCTGGTCGCATCCACCATTAAACCCCTCTTGCTGCTACCACATCTTTTGATGCTACTATTTCTACCCATGCCTTTCTTCACATATTGTACTGCTTGGCCGTAAGAAGATCTCCATCTGCTCAGAAACCTGAATAGGTAGAAAAATCGTGCTCTTAATCTTTGAACTGAAAATCTTTTGGGATACTTTAGCCTGAAACCTCTGGTGCAGCTGGCTCCATGATGAAGATGATGATGATGATGATGACCTCTCTTCCCAACTTTGGTGTAGTCCATATGACTCATTCTTTGATGCTTATGAAACCAAATAAAAACTGACATGCCTAGGTCTCTTGTACTCTTTATAGAAAATAAGGTTGAAGGAGGACTTTTTGGAGGGTGAGTTGTCATGATGAAATTAACAAGGCACTTTGAAAATGGTGGGTTTTTCTTTTGGACTTTGGACGGTCTATTGTGGGAGAGATTTTTGCGTGTACAACGTGGATACGATCAGATTATGTGCTTTAAAATAATAATAATTTTTATTCTAGGTTAACCAAACGCTGTCATCAAATCAATTTATACATCTATTCAGACTAAATTTTCTTTCTAAATGATTTTAACAAAACATTTCTTACATTAATTTGGTATAATATGAGAGAATAAATTTCTCTAAATGCCGATATGAGATTTAAATTCATTTTTTTTTAAAAAAGTATGTTTCTTTAAAAAATGGATTTTTTTCCATGTTTGGATATTATACTTGTCGAAATATATATATATATATATATATATATATACACTATTTATGTTTGTTGTTTGTGGAGACGACGTTCCTATATTTTTCTGATATTTATACCGGCTTAAATTATAAAATTGGAATAACTCGAACATTTGGTCTATCTTTTTTTTATGAGCTAAGTTTGTTTTTATATTATTTCCTACCGTATAGTTACTTTTTTATATATTTTTATATCGGCTTAAATCACAAGATTAGAAGACTCGAACATTCAGTCTATCTTTTTTTATGAGTTAAGTTTGTTTTTATGTTATTTTCTATTGTATAATTATTATTTTTATTGAGACTTCTTATTTTTTACTTGATTGAGACCTTTTATTTTTCAAAATTTCTTAGTTCGGAGGAATTTTTATATTTCCAAACACTCGTCATCAAATCAATTTATACATCTATTCAAACTAAATTTTCTTTCTAAATAATTTTAATGAAACATTTCTTACATTAATTTGGAATGATATGAGAAAATAAATTTCTCACCGATATGAGGTTTAAATTCAATTATTATTTTTTTTAAAAAAAGTCTATTTCTTTAAAAATTGGATTTTTTTTTTCATATTTGGATACTATACTTGTTGAAAGATCTATTTACTAGTTATGTTTGTTGTCTGCGAAGATGACGTTCTCGTCATTTTCTCGATATTTATTCCAGCTTAAATCACGGAATTGGAATGACTCGAACATTCGATCTATCTTTTTTTATGAGTTAAGTCTTTTTTTATGTTATTTTCTACTTGTATAATTATTTTTTTTATATATATTTATACCGGCTTAAATCACGGGATTGGAATAACTCGAACATTTGGTCTATCTTCTTTTTATGAGCTAAGTTTGTTTTTATGTTATTTCCTACCGTATAATTACTTTTTTATATATATTTATATCGGCTTAAATCACAGGATTAGAAGACTCGAACATTCAGTCTATCTTTTTTTATGAGTTAAGTTTGTTTTTATGTTATTTTCTATTGTATAATTACTTTTTTTATTGAGACTTCTTATTTTTTACTTGATTGAGACCTTTTATTTTTCAAAATTTCTTAGTTCGGAGGAATTTTTATATTTCCAAACACTCGTCATCAAATCAATTTATACATCTATTCAAACTAAATTTTCTTTCTAAATAATTTTAACGAAACATTTCTAACATTAATTTTGTATAATATGAGAAAATAAATTTCTCGTCGATATGAGGTTTAAATTCAATTTTTTTTTTAAAAAAAAAAGAGTCTATTTCTTTAAAAATTGGATTTTTTTTTCATATTTGGATACTATACTTGTTGAAAAATATATATCTATTTACTATTTATGTTTGTTGTTTGCGAAGACGACGTTCTCGTCATTTTCTGATATTTATACCAGCTTAAATCATGGAATTGGAATAACTCGAACATTCGATCTATCTTTTTTTATGAGTTAAGTCTTTTTTTTTATGTTATTTTCTACTCGTATAATTGCTTTTTTTTATATATATATTTATACCAGCTTAAATCACGGGTTTAGAATAACTCGAACATTCGGTTTATCTTTTTTTATGAGTTAAGTATGTTTTTATGTTATTTCCTACTATATAATTATTTTTTTTATTGAGACTTTTTATTTTTTATATTTGATCGAGATCTTTTATTTTTCAAGATTTCTTAGTTTAGACTATTTTTTATATTTTCACCAATCAATTATCGATACCTCTTCAAGATTTCTTACTTTATAATGTCTAATATCGATCGCCGATTAGTAGATTATATAAAAAAAAATGAACTAAAACGAGAAATTTTAAAAAATAAATGATCTCCATTAAGCCAAAAATAAAAAATAAAAAAACTTAATAAAAAATTCGAAAAATAGATATCCAAATACGAGAAAAACTATTTAAAGAGCAGCCTATTCTTTAAATTAATAATAATAATTAATTTAGTTTATAATTGATTCAAATACAAACAAAGAGTAAGTATGATATGATGGGTATGGTAGGGCCAAAGGGGACAAATAAAAAGAAAAAAAAAGGGGGAAGTGTCCCTTTTCAAATTAGGTGACAAAAGTATAGCCTTAGACAAGATTAAAAATTTGTATCAATGAGTGAAATCCGGAAAGATCAACTTGCAATTGTGGGAGACAATATACCATTAGTAGATAGCCATATGTTTTTATTTTTTTTATGCAAAATTTGTTAGTCTAACTAAGTTTGACTTATAAAATGTCTTCTTCTTCTTCTTCGTATAGGGTGGCTAACTCGTCCTTTTGCTTTGCTTTCTGTCTTTGAGCCTCTTAATTGGTCTATAGATAGTGGGTGTTTTCTGTATTACATACACTATGGAAGACAATTGTACTTTTTGCTTTCTTTTTGTGATTAAAAAAGTTAGGTTCCATGTTCTATACTTTAAAGAGTAATAATGTCTATTGTTTGGAAAACGAGAAAGTGATTTCTACTAAAGAAATTAAATTCAAAGTCGTCTAGAATGAGTGATTTTTTTAAAAAAAAAATCTTAAATTATTCTACAAATCATAACCCAAATCCTAATCAAATCATCACAAATATCTTTAACTCAACTGAATATTAAATTTGAAAAATTCTCAATCTGAGTCTTTTCTTGTTAGAATCTTCAAAATTTTATGACGAATAAAATTAATTTTATTTATTTATTTAGAAAACAGTATCATTTTTTTACGCATGATCATAAATTTTAGACAGAATTCATAAATGGTTGAATTAAAATAAGGGGATTCAATTTTGAATTTTCAAAATTCTCAATCTAAGTTTTTTTTAAAAAAAAAATCTGTAAAATTTTACGATGAATGACATTAATTTTTTTTAATAGAACAGCATTGTTTTTTATGCGTAATCGTAAATTCTAGACACAATTCATGAATGGTTGGATTTGAACGAGATGATTCAATTATGAATTCCCTACATCTTTGGTAATCTAGTTGAAAATGGAGTCGATAGTATGATAAAATGTCAAACACCAAAGACTAGGCTAATTCACCCAACACGAATTTTGTGACGTTCCAAATCAATTTGAATAGGTTTCCCATCTGACCAGGAGGCTTAAATAATTTAAAAAGATGAAGTAAAACATCAAGACTTGCGATGTGTATTCACTTGAGAAAATTTTGCGAGCAGAAAAAAATGCATGTGGTCATTACTTTGGTCAGCAACGTTGGTCATCAACTTGTTATGTATAGTGTTTGAATCAACTTCTGCCGTTTTGTGGGAGTAGGTAAGCCGAGAAAACCTTGCACTAAGATATTTGTCCATTTGGCGTAATCTAGACAGTTCACACACACGTGTAAAGAGATACGCCACTCAGCCCTCTACCATTTTCACCTTATATTTGATCTCTTATTTATTATTTTTTTTAAGGGTTAATAACATCGTATTTAGAATTTTCTAGTTTTCTTTGATTAGTTTGGTGAAGATTATAGTTTCGTTAGTCTCTATCGATAGAATGACGATTCAATTGAAAAATTTTTATGTTATGGTTAAGTTTTGAATGCATATGTAAAATAATCTTTGATCATATAATTATATTTATATGTTTATGTGTTTTAAGTGAATGTTTTATATTTTAATTGTTTGTCTGATCATATGTGTCTTTAAACTTTAAAACGCATCCAATTTATTCTTGTTATTTAAACTGATTTCTAATATATTTTTTTAGTTAAAATGTGGTAAGAAATTTTAATTCTTATTATTAATATTTTTTCGTCAATTGTTAATAAAATTTTAGCTGAAAAAAATCATCTGTGCTAATACAGTTAACATAAATTTAATTTATGTATTTTTTGTATAATATTAAAAAAAATGAGCTAATATGATTAAAGAAATATCAAGTTTGTAGTTTTTTGACATAATAATCCAATATTTGAGTGTGATCTGATTTAAATATTACGTAAAATTATAAGAAGTAAGTTTTTTTTTTATATATGAATAACATGTTTAAGATAAGAATTGTTTTAAAATAATTTTCTTCGATTTTTTAATTTATATATCCATTGCATGCTTCTGGTTAGATTAGACACATAATTTCAACTAGCATAGTAAAACAAAAACAGCCGAAGATTCATTTGGGACAAGACCACACAGATCCACGTAAAAGAATGATTTTGGTTTGTATATATGGTGAAAATAACCCTTCTTATTTTATATCCAAACATCGGGAATCACGAAATCTACGTAAAGGATTCCTCAATAGTTTTAATTAGTACTCACCGACCAAAATCACTTGACCACAAAAACTACAATTATATATATATTAAATTTATTATTTTTTTAGACTAAACTAACATTAAAATGTATTTAGTTTGTAGCCTGACTATCAGACTATCACTAAATTAAATCAATTTAAACTTAATATTATTAAAAAATAATTATGATCAATAATTGAATTTTAATTTTTGTTAAATCAGAATAATTTTTTTACCACTTAACAGCGTCTTTTCATCTTTTTATGATTAGATTTTTGTATTTTAAGCTAGTATTTTACGATGAATGTGTTTAATTCTAATGATTATGGTAAAAAACATAAATGTAAACTAGATTAATTAAACATTAGAAGAAGACGTTAAATCATTCTTGATTAGTAGTTCCACCGCTAATTCAGAATCAACTTGGAGTTTGACTTCTTATCTTTTGGGTTGGCAAAAAGATACCTGGACCAGTAAAGCATTACGATGAAAACGAGTAAATTACTTGTCATTGGAAATAAATATTAATTTCGTTTTATTTCCACACCAATTCTTTACAGGATTAGAAGGCAGGCTGCAGATTGCTGGGATGGCACTAACAGGCAAAGGGTGTAGGCAACCTAGGCAGCTGGGATTTTTGTACGTTTGCCTCTGGTTTGGGTGACATTCTGTTGCTTGTTTGTACTCCCAACTGTACTTTGCCAGCAAGTTGCATGAAAACAAACAGCCCAACTCATTCGAGCCCAGAGAAAAGTGGAGCCCAAACACGAGACAGAGTAAGGCAACTCATGATCATTATTTTTATATGTTGGTGGCCTTTTGTTAGAGATAGGGTTTACTTTATGCTTAGTGTCCTGTAGAGTTTTAGTTTTTTTATTCAATTTTTTTATTATTTTTTAGTTTGATTGAAATTTTTTATTTTTATAATTTATTGGTTGAGATCTTTTGTTATCACATCATTAATAATTCATTATACGTGATAATTTAAAATTAATAATAGTCAATCAAACAATAATATAGGATAAAGTTTTTTTATCTACATTTTCACGTGTCAGTTCTCGATTGACACGTGGAATTAATAGTTAACAGTGTTATAATGAATTGTCTCAATCAATAAATTTATAAAAACATAAGATTTTAATCAAATTTAAAAATAATAAAATTAAAAAATTAAAACTATACAGAGTTAATTATAGGATAAATCCGTTAAAATAGTAAGGAACTGCTGACTACAAATCAGTGAGTTCGGTTCCACGACATTCCGAGTTTGGTGTGCCAGATCATAAGCTTTTGTTGATTTGGGCTGGTTTTAGAAAGTTCTTAAGCATGGCCAAGAAAGATCCTTGAGATAACATGGAGTTTTTTTCTACGTAAGAATAGTGTTCCTGTTCGAATTTGTCAACAAGATTTAAGATCTCAATTATTTCTCCTTTACATTCCTAGTAATAGTGCATGTTCGAGTTTTGTCAGTCTCTTTTCGGAAAAATCATGTATACATTCAGTTAGTTTTATTTTTGAATTTTAGCTTCAATATAAACACAATAAAATTCTTCTACATACAAAAAGTATCATGTTTTTATTGGATTTGTGATTGTTCAAGAGGTTTTTGAAAATTGATTAGACGACTAGTCAGTATAATAGTCAGGATATTGAGAATTAGTAGTGTCCTTGTAAAAATAACCAGTCAACCAACCAAACATAAATGATACAAACAGCTGGTATTGTAATTTTAAAAAATAACGGTTAATAAACCAAACAGAAATGACATAAATGGTTAGTATTAAGACTTGCAAAAACAACGGATCAACCAACCAAATATAAATGATGTAAATAAGGAGAGGAGTATGAAGAAAAGTTGAAAGAAGCAGAAAGAGAGTTAAAAATTTTTTTTTTCCCTAAAGATCAAAAGTCAAAATCCAAAAGTTTTGACTTTAAAGTTCCCATCCCTTTTATAATGATCTGAAGTTGGTATTTATAATGAAAAAATATAGTTTTTAACGAGTTAAAATCATGTCACGTCATTCAAATTTTGACAATTAAGTTTGAATTGAAAAAAATTATGTTATATATATATATATATAACACTTTAACGTATTAGTAAAAGTTTTTTTTAAAAAACTAAATATTTATTTTTCAAAACAATTTTAATTCCAGCAAATTTATTTTTTGAATTTAAAAAATTTATTTTTTGAATACATTATGTTGATATAAAAGTTTACTTACGATCATTTAGAAGAAGAATTTACCTCTAAATGGTTTGACTTTATTGGTTAAAAAAATTTATTTTTTTCTTGACCTTTTGAGTTTAAATTTGAAAGATAATAAAATTTATTAAATTTTTTTAAATGCACCAAGTCCGATATCAAAAATATGTTTTTAAGATCATTCAAAAAAGAATTTAATCTTTATTAATGTATAAATTAGTTTTTAAGATTGTAAGATGGGAGATTTAATCTCTGTTAATACAAAAACTAGTTCAAATATTACTGTTGAATAAGAAAGAAATTTGGATAAAAAATTCATTCAAATTTGGACGATTATATTTTAATTGAATATATATATATATTCCGCTTCGAGTTATTAGTAAAAATTAAAAAAAGACTAACAATTTATTTTTCAAAACAATTTTAAATCCAACAAATTAATTTTTTGATTTAATTTTTTTGAATACATTATGTGGATATAAAAGTTTACTTACCATCATTTAGAAAAAGAATTTAACTCTAAATGGTTTAATTTATTGGTTATAAAAAATTATTTTTTTCTTCATTTTTTGAGTTTAAATTTTAAAGATAATAAAATTTATTAAATTTTTTTGAATATACCAAATTTGATATCATAGATATATTTTTAAGATCGTTCGAAAAAGAATTTAATCTCTATTAATATACAAATTAGTTTTTAAGATTGTTAGATGGGAGATTCAATCTTTCAAAAATTACTGTTGAATAAGAAAGAAATTTGGAGAAAAAAATTATTTTTAATAGATAACGCAGTTGGTTCGAAAAATTTTTATCGTAAAAACAAGGAAAAAAAAAGATGAAAAAAAAACCCTAAAAATACCACTATATGTAAAAACCAAAAATAAAAAAAATTAACAGTAACCTTTAAAATTGACTGGAGGCTAGCAATTTTGCAGACAGACATCATTTTATACCCTGACTGTAGTTTCCATAGCCTAAAATAAAGATCATGTCGGATTCATTGCCATCTGGCCCGCCGTCAGATCCCAAACCCGCCACCTTTGCCACCAATTCACCAGACGAAACAGTCACCACCTCCACCACAACAACCACCTCTACCCCAGAAGGTTCATCTTCACCACCTGTTCAGATCCCTCTCTCATGGCCTCCCGATTCTTCCCTCACTCTCGACTGGATCCAAAACCTCATTTCCGCCTTTGATTGGTCTTCCAAAAACCTCCCCCCATCTGAACTCCCTTCAGTCCTCCCTGTATCCGTCTTTGACACTTTAGTCCTCACCGCCTCGAAAATTCTTCACAAAGAGCCTAACTGTGTTAGAATTGATGATTGTAATGAAAATTCAAAAGGGTAGTTGTAGGAGATGTTCATGGGCAACTTCATAGTTTTAATTAGTAATCACCGAATTCTACGTAAATTTTACAGCCGAAGGATTCCTCAATAGTTTTAATTAGTACTCACCGACCAAAATCACTTGACCACAAAAACTACAATTATATATATATATATATTAAATTTATTATTTTTTTAGACTAAACTAACATTAAAATGTATTTAGTTTGTAGCCTGACTATTAGACTATCACTAAATTAATTCAATTTAAACCTAATATTATTAAAAAATAATTATGATCAATAATTAAATTTTAATTTTTGTGAAATCAAAACAATCTTTTTGCCACTTAACCACGTCTTTCCATCTTTTTATGATTAGATTTTTGTATTTTAAGCTAGTATTTGACTTCTTACCCTTTTCTTTTCTTTTTTCTTTTTTGTTAGAAAAGGGGTAAAACCCTATAAAAAAAAAACTTCACAAATATTATTTAATAATAATTTCATATAATTAATCGGAGTTTTTAAGAGATAATAAACTTCAATATCAAAAGTATGAGCAAAATTAACTATCAATCTATACATTTGTTTCTTTCACGATGTATGTGTTTAATTCTAATGATTATGGTAAAAACATAAATGTAAACTAGATTAATTAAACATTAGAAGAAGACGTTAAATCATTCTTAATTATTAGTTCCACGGCCAATTCAGAATCAACTTGGACCGTTAAAGCATTACGATGAAAACGAGTAAATTACTTGTCATTGGGAATAACTATTAATTTCCTTTTATTTCCACACCAATTCTTTACGGGATCAGAAGGCAGGCTGCAGATTCTTGGGATAGCACTAACGGGCAAAGGGACAGCCTAGGCAGCTTGGTTTTTTGTACATTTTTGCCTCTGGTTTGGGTGACATTCTGTTGCTTGTTCGTAGTCCCAACTGTACTTTGTCTGCAAGTTGCATGAAAACAAACAGCCCAACTCATTCGAGCCCAGAGAAAAGTGGAGCCCAAACACGAGACAGAATAGGCAACCCATGATCATTATTTATAGATCGGTGGCCCTTTGTTAAATTTAGGGTTTACATTGTAATTGGCTCCTTCTAGTATTAATTAGATTTTTCATACGTGCTACGTTATAAGTAGGAAAAACTATATAAAAATATTTTTAAAAATTATTTTATTTTGATATCTCACATTATATTATGTATTTATTAAAATACATCAAATTTTATATTTGATTGATTATTCTTTATATTTTTTCATAAATTTTTTATAAAATAATTATTTAATAGCATAAAGAATGTTAAAACCAAGAGATTCTTAGCTAAAAATTTATTTTGTAATTTTTTTAAACATTTTTTTGCGTTAAAATTTTTGATTAAAAAATTAGAGAAAAAAGGACCACGATGAAAAAAATAAAACAAAAAAGAGAGACCAAAAACCAAACAAAAATATTTTACGGATTGAAAAAATCATATTTAAAAAATAGGGATCAAAATGCAATGTTAGTAAAACTTTCATTATAAATGTATTACAAACGTTTAGAAACATTAGTGAAAGGAATAGTGCTTTAGAGTGTGTGTGAATAGTATTTTAAATAGTGAATAAATAGTAAAATCAATAGTTTTACTTTAGTATTATTTATAATTTTTTTGATTGAGATTTTTTTATTATTTTTCAGTTTGATTGAAACATTTTATTCTTACAAATTTATTGATTGAGACCCTTCGTTATAATGCCGTTAATTATTCATCATACGTTATAAGTTAAAATTAATGGTAGTCACTCAAACAAAGACACATGACAAATATTTTTTATTCACATTTTCACATATCAGTTCTCGATTAATACATGAGATGAATAGTTAATAATTTAATAATTGAGGGTCTCAATTAATAAATTTATAAGAGTAAAGAGTTTTAATCAAACTGAAAAATAATAGAAGATCTTAATAAAACAAATTAAAACTGTAGAATAATTAATTATAGGATAAACCCGTTAAAATACTAAGAAACTGCTGACTGCAAATCAGTGGGTTCGATTCCATGAGATTCCGAGTTTGGCGTGCCAAATCATACGCTTTTGTTTGATTTTGGCTGGTTTAGGAAAGTTCTTAAGCACGGCCAAGAAAGATCCTTGAGGCAACATGGAGTTTTCTATGTAAGAAGAGTGTTCCTGTTGGAATTTGTTAACAGGATTTAAAATCTCAATTATTTCTCCATTACATTCCTAGTAATAATGCACGTTCGAGTTTTGTCACTCTCTTTTCGGAAAAATCATGAACTCATTCAATTAGTTTTATTTTTGAATTTTATCTTAAATATAAATACAATAAAATTCTTCTAGATATCACAGGTATGGTGTTTTTATTGGATTTGTGATTGTTTGAGAAGTTTTTTAGAATTGATTAGACTTAATCGGTATAACAGTCAACCAATCAAAGAAAAATAACATAGATAATTAGTATTGTGACTTTTAAAAACAATGATCAACCAACCGAACGAAAATGATACAAATACTAAGAGGTGTACGAAAAGAAGTTGAAATAAGCATAGAGAGAGTTTAAGGGTTTTTTTTTCATAGAGATCAAAAGTTGAAATCCAAAAGTTTTGATTATATGAAGTGAGTAATTACGGTAAAAAAAGATGGCTTTTTCCTCGTTAAAATCATGTCATATCATTTAAGTTTAGACGAGTTATATTTGAATTAAAAAAAATTAAGTTATATATATGAAATAATTGTCCCTAGTGTTTCGAAAGCTACGGACTATTTCAAATATATATATATATATGAAATAATTATCCCGAGTGTTTTTGAAAGCTACAAACTCTTCCAAACAAATTATAACCCGTCGACAAAAGAAAAACGTTTTCCCCCTCTTTTCCTTTTACGTACAAAGTTCTTTTTACCATAGGTTTGTTCTTGGTATTATGATGTCAAATATCAAGACACTACTTTAATCTTAACCGGGAGATTCAAAGTAACAACATTTTCCGCATTTAGTTTAGGATGTTTCTTTACAAGAAATTCAAAGACAATTACAAAATGATTTTCCGAAAAAGAAAATTTCTAATTTTCAAAACATGTTAGAAAAAGAAATGCGTTCGATTTACCAACTGCCTTTTGGAATAGGAAACAACATAGTGTTAACTTATCATATGACAAAGACTTCAACGACAAACGGATTCCTACCAAAGCTAGACCTATCCAAATGAATGCCGACCTTGAAAAACACTATCGGTTAGAAATTCGGGATTTAGAATACAAAGGTCTTATCCAAATATATATATATATATATATATTGCTTCAATTTGCTAATAAAAGCTAAAAAAAACTAGCAATTTATTTTTCAAAACAATTTTAAAACCAACAAATTAATTTTTTGAATTTTTTAAAAAAATATTTTTGTGGATGCATTATTTGGATATAAAAGTTTACTTATGATCATTCAAAAAAAGAATTTAACTCTAAATGGTTTGACTTATTGGTTAAAAAAAATCAATTTTTTTCTTGACTTTTTGAGTTTAAACTTTAAAGGCAATAAAATTTATTAGTTTTCTTAATGCATCAATTTTGATATCGGAAATATGTTTTTAGGATCATTCAAATTTGAACGGTTAGATTTGAATTAAAAAAGTTATATATATATATAAACTGCTTTAACTTGCTAGTAAAAGTGAAAAAAAAATAAAAATTTCAAAACAATTTTAAATCCAACGAATTAATTTTTTTGAATTTAAAATAAAATTATTTTTGTGAATGCATTATGTGGATATCAAAGTTTACTTATGATCATTTAGAAAAAAGAATTTAACTCTAAATGGTTTGACTTATTGGTTAATGTTTTTTTTTTTTTTTACTTTTTGAGTTTAAACTTTCAAGGTAATAAAATTTATTGATTTTTTTTTTGAATGCACCAAGTTTGATTCTGAAAATATGTTTTTAAGATCATTTGAGAAAGAACTTAATCTCTATTAATAATATACAAATTAGTTTTTAAGTTTTTAGTTGAGAGATTTAATATCTGTTGATGCAAAAACTAATTAAAAAATTACTGTTGAATAAGAAAGAAATTTGGAAAAAAAATTATTTTTAATAGATATAGAAGTTGATTCGAAAAAAAATTATCGTAAAAAAAGGAAAAAAAAAGAGAAAGGAAAAAAAAAGAAAGAAAAAGGTCTAAAAATACCACTCTATGTAAAAACCAAAAATAAAGAAAATTAACAGTAACCTTTAAAATTGACCGGAGGCTAGCAATTTTACAGACGGACATCTTCATTTTATACCCTGACTGTAGTTTCGATAGCCTAAAAATAAAGATCATGTCGGGTTCATTGCCATCTGGCCCGCCGTCAGATCCCAAACCCGCCACCTGTGCCACCAATTCACCAGACGAAACAGCCACCACCTCCACCACAACAACCCCCTCTACCCCAGAAGTTTCATCTTTATCACCTGTTCAGATCCCTCTCTCATGGCCTCCCGATTCTTCCCTCACTCTCGACTGGATCCAAAACCTCATTGCCGCGTTTGATTGGTCTTCCAAAAACCTCCCCCATCTGAACTCCCTTCAGTCCTCCCTGTACCCGTCTTTGACACTTTAGTCCTCACCGCCTCGAAAATTCTCCACAAAGAGCCTAACTGTGTTAGAATCGATGACTGTAATGAAAATTCAAAAGTGGTAGTCGTAGGAGATGTTCATGGGCAACTTCATGATGTTCTTTTTCTATTGCAAGATGCTGGGTTTCCGTGTGAAGATCGGTTCTTTGTGTTTAATGGAGATTATGTTGATCGAGGAGCTTGGGGTCTTGAGACTTTCTTGCTCTTGTTAGCTTGGAAGGTAGGTATCTTTAAACTAATTCAAGAATTCTGTTAAAAGTTATATTTTATGGAAGATTTTTTCTTTCTCGTATTATTTCTTTTCATGAATTTGAAGAATGTGAATTCGATACTTAGATGATATTTGATGAGAGGGGAAATGGTAGAAAATATTTCTCTAAAGGAGACTGGGTTGAGTAGGCTGGTGTTGTCTCCGGTGGAAACACACACTGATGCTTAATTTAGTTATGTATGGCACTATATGGCCAGATAAATGTAATATTAATTGATAATGGAAAGCTAAAGGATGCTCGAAGGTATTCGGATTTGGAGAAATGTTGCAATTTGCTATGAACTCTTTCAAGCAGTGTTGTGTGATTCACTTTATATCCATTATTTTAATATGAAAATAATGAGTTTGTGCCAAGTGACTATTCCCCAGTAGAGAATCTAGGTATACTAGGAGGGTATCCTCTTAGTATCGCATAAAGCACATCAATGCTGTGAATCACAATTGTTGGGTAATGATGCATAATAATGCTAGCATTAAATAATCATAGTGGCATGGTAAGTAAGTACCTTTGATTGGTTCATGAAGGGTCGATGAAGGTAGCAAGTCATCTTGAATGGATTTTCGGAACAGTGTCAAAGTCCATCCTTAGAAGCCATATGCAGATATGAATATTGCAGCTCAAGCGAAGGTTGATGAAAAGAACCACTGTAGAAGACCATCAAATGGGTTTTTTGATTGGAACTAGTTCAAGTTTCAAACCAGGCACACCGTGGAGGAGATGATGGAGGGAGGGATTAATCTTCAGGTTCCATGAGTGAAGAGAAGGGGAGTGGTTAAGTGAGGGAGAGAGAAAATGTCAGTGAGTGGTGTGTGTGAGAGCGGGTGAATAGGTGAGAAAAATCCCTTCTTTAAAGATTCCTTTTTTCCCTTTCGTTTTAGGCTTATTTTAACTAAGTAATTAGATTCTAACTAAATGGCCTCTTTCCTTTCTTATTAGTGTGCCAAATGCCCACTTCTATTAAGCTATAAGCCATGGTATATCACCTGGTTTTAGTTATAATGCTAAGTTTCTAATATTTCTGGACCATTTCTGCAATCTGAACACAATTTAAGGTTGATATTGGGTGATAAATTTTCTTTCGATAAAAAAATTGTTAAGACAGAGCAGAGTTTGCTGTATGGATTTGTTTCTATTGTACAGTCTTTTTTCTGTGTTGTACTCTTACACACTTAGTGATATTGTTAGCTTAAGTAAGGAGTCAAAAAGATTTTAGACCCTACATTCACATTTGCTGAAGAAAATTCAATTTGTGATCGGCTTCATATTGCTAAGTTACTGGACATGTGTTGGGCTGGTGGTGCTTGCTTCATTTAAATAACCATTTCTTTGTTTGCTAAATGTCCAAGTTCCATGTACAAATGTTTATCTCTTTTTACATGTACGGATGTTTATCTTTGTTTCTTTTTCTTTCTTTTTCTTGAGGATATAAATCACAAATTTTTTACTTAAACTCGATCTTGTTTTTTGTTAATTAAGTAATGTTTATGAATTGGTATCTTGCTTAGGTATTTTTGCCACAGAGGGTATATCTCCTCCGTGGCAATCATGAATCCAAGTATTGCACATCTGTGTATGGTTTTGAGAAAGAAGTTTTGGCAAAGTATGGCGATAAAGGTAAGCATGTCTATCGGAAGTGCTTGGGATGCTTCGAAGGCCTTCCCTTGGCCTCTATTATAGCTGGGCATGTATATACTGCTCATGGAGGACTTTTCCGCAGTGTGTCTATCACCCCATCAAAGAGAACGAAGGGAAAGAAGAATCGGAGGATAAGTTTAAATTCTGAAACCAAACTATTATGTCTTGGTTCTTTGGAGGAGTTATCCAAAGCTCGAAGATCGGTTCTTGACCCTCCATGGGAAGGTCTGAACCTAATTCCGGGAGATGTGTTATGGTCAGATCCAACAATGAAATCTGGACTGTCACCAAATACAGAGAGAGGCATTGGTTTATTATGGGGACCTGATTGTACTGAAGACTTTTTAAAGAAGTTCCAACTAAAGGTTGTGCATATTTAAATTCTCATTTAAGTTGACATGATTACAGTTTTAATTCTCATTATTAGCATGTTGTTGGGCAATTTTACTACTTACTCAAATTCTCAATTTTAAATTTTGAATCATATATTTTTAAAATAAATGACCTATCCCCAAATCTGAATTATAGGAAGCTTTCTATTCAGGTTTGATGATATGATAATTTTTTTTCTTTTCCCAACATGTATCAATTAGTATACTGGTCCCAATTTGACATTATGTTAGAAAGTCAAATTATTTGGAGTTATTTTGGGGCGCTTTTGGCAATTTGTGATCACAAACTTTTGAAGAATGGGTCTATTTCTGCATTTATGAACAATAGAAAAATGCTTAGCTTTTACTTGCATTCTTTATCTATGTCACGCATTTCACTATTTCTGCAATTCATGCCAAGAATAAGGTGATGTTTTACAATTTAGGAATTGACATGGTTTTTAATGTTTCATCTTGTTGCCTTAGCTAATCATCAGATCACATGAAGGCCCGGATGCAAGGGAAAAGAGGCCCGGTCTTGGAGGAATGGATGAGGGGTACACCATAGATCATGTTGTACCATCAGGAAAGCTGATTACTCTCTTTAGTGCCCCAGACTACCCACAGTTTCAGGTTTTGTTACAATCCTTCTTTCCTATATTGGTCTCTTTTTGATTTCATATACTATCTACAACTCTTATCTGGGAAAACAGTTTTGCATCGTTTGGCTTCACATTTCTTATACATTTAGGGTTGAGTTCGAGTTCCATGTTGGTATCTTAATCTTGCACCGATTAACACGTTTGGAGATGTTAAGCTTTTGTAACTGTTCTTGTTCGGCTTCCATATAGAAAGCATCTGCTATGTTTTCTTGGTGGATATGATTTCCTTGACTTTTTCTCGACTGGTTTTTATATCTTGAACATCTTGGCACAAGTAAACACCAGGCATATTGGACAACATTTTAAACTCTGTTTTTATTTATGTTGAATCATATTAGGTATTTTTGAATGACATTATCTACATCAGATAATCAATCTGGTTTGGGCTTCCAAAGAGGCAATTCTTCTTTAAATAAACACAGTCCATCCATCATCTTTAAACCTTGTTGGATGTTGATGATTTGCGAAAGACTTGAATGAAGTTCCTAAATGTTACCACATATGTTGAATTACTTGAGGGAATCGTAGAGCCGGATGAAACTAATTTAGACAACTTTTAACAGCACTTTTGCCTCACTCACTTTTTCCTGATGTTATAATTTTTAACAAATTAATTTGTTTTGTAGGCGACTGAGGATAGACACAAAAATAAAGGAGCATATATTGTCCTGAAACCCCCACGTTTTGATGTGCCGGAGTTCCATAGTTTTGAAGCAGTTACTCCGAGACCAGTGGTACGAATTTTGAACTATAAACTAGCAGAATGATAAAATTGTTTTAATAACTTGCCAATTGCTCAAGCATATTCTCCTAAATACTTTTTCCCTTGCAGGTGAAAGCTTATTATGATTATGAAGATGTGATCGACTCTGATGAAGAATTAGACTTGGCCTCAATGGTGACCTCAACTTAATGGTCTTCACCCTCCCTTTTTATTTTAGGGATCCTGAACATTTTGGAGTTGTAATTTCTCCATGATTTTGTGCTGTGCCTATTATTTATTGATTTCATTGTACCCGGAAAAAGAAGAAGAAGAAGAAAATTACTTATTGCTTAATGGGTTTCTCATGCTGGTGCCCCCGTACACGTATAAAATTGTATTGTAACCTCAAGAGTGGTTATAGTGCAGTTTTTTGGTTGCATAATTTAGTCCATTTCTTGTCCTTGTCTCTGCTCGCACTCCTATGCGAAATGCGTTTGCGCCTGAAACCTCAAAGCTAAGTTGCTGAGATGGCTAAGATGGCCAAGACCCGCAAAAAGAAAAAGGATACACAATAGCGTCTTACCACCATATGCTATTATGGTTTAAAGATTGGTCTCAGGGCTAACATTAAAAGCATAAACCATAAATTACAAGAAAATTCTGAATTCACCCAATAAAATAAAATAAAAATTCTTAGGTGAGATTTTGAAAGATTAACAGATAATCGATCATAATCCTGTTATAAAGAAGCAACATGAGGGGAGATGATTCAAGATTCCAATTTGGATGATCACAGTAAAAGTTGAGCAAAGAAATCGGAGGAGCAGCTAGTAAGAAACATTATGAAAATATAAAGTTTGATGTGAATAAAGCCGGCAAGCTCAACATACAAGTCCCATGTATAACTGAACGGAAATTAAAAAAAGCCTCCTACCTAGATAGTATTAACACGGTAAGGTCTACTGATCTAAAAGAAGGCAATTACAACCAAGACTGAAATCCATCCTAATGGCAAATCGCTTTTACTGTGTCATTAACAGGCATGGACGTTTTTCAACTGATTAGTCTGACTCGCCAAATGGGACACGGACATACAGTTGTCCATGCAAGGTGACCACCGCTGTTGTCTGATGTGGATCGATCCTCGAGGGTAAGCTGACAACCTGAAAACAATGCCAATCTTAGTTACTCCATGAGAAAATGGAAAAGTTTAACAAGTCTTAAATGTGAACTGCAATAAAATGTTTGCTATCCCTCAAACAGCTAAAAGCATAAAACCTTGAGACATGCTTGCAAGGAATGTTTCATCTACGGCAGGGAAATAACAGGCATTACCAAAGAAATGGAATGCGTACCTTTTTGAATGGTGCAACACCCCAAGGATTTTCCTCATGCTCAGGTTCACCACTGATAACCAAGCGCCCTGCTGGATCTGATTGAACCCGTACCTGATTTTGCAAAACAACAAGGTTATAAAACATTTGCTGATGTCTCAATATGATATCAACATAAATTTTGGTGTTCCTAAATTTCAACGAAAGTGTGATATATTGACTAGAAAGCAATGAAATGAATCAAAACCAGTTTCGGGGAGTCATAACACAAATTTTCCGTTCATGTCCGAACTGGTGGATGCATTCTTATATCTCTAAAATTTGAGTATAGTAATAAGTTTGAATCTTCATCAATCCAGGGACAATCTTGTGGGTACATGCTCATTAAGGTGTGGCGGTAAAAGAAACTATGCACCCCTATCTACAAGTAATGTAAAGCAGTGCACCAAGCATATAGAAACGGCCTTGGCAACTTCAGGTTCTACTAAATAATAATCAAGCTAACAGGCAAGATAAAAGGGGTGCTTTCTAGTCAGGCAAGAATTTTCCAAATCCGCTGCTAAATGACATCAGATTGCTTTCCAGGATAAAATGAGTAAAATATATGTACAAGTGAAGTATAAAAGAAGACAAGAGAAACAAGAATTTAAGCACGCACCTCTTCACGGAGGAGACCTGGAACTAAAGCATACACCTCAAAACTATCCTTCTGTAGATATAATTTTTCATTCCAAGTTAGAAATATTACAAATTTCTGCATTGCCTTTTAAAGGGAAAAAAATAATAACATGCAAGAACTGACTGTTTTCTGTACGTTGATCTTCACCCAATCAGCTGGAGCTCCAACATCAATCACCTCCACATCCAATCTAGTTTAAAAAAAAAAAAAAAAAGCCACTCGAATCAATGCCACTATTTATTTCTCATCAAGGCAGATATTTGATACCAATGGGCAAATCTAATAACTGGGGAGCAAGAATTTTAACCGTGCACTTTTGGTGCGTGGAGATTTGACAGCATGTTCCACATAAGATGGTTTCTTGCGTTTCAGTAAACCTGAGCCAAGAGGTCCAAATATTGGAAACTGATTTAAGCTGCTAACGAATTGAGAAATTGATAAACCCTGTAACTCACCAATGTTTTTTAGCTCTTTTTCACGCTTTTGTGCAGGTATGGTATTCTTGTCCTACAAAATACAGATACATCACTGTAAACAATAGTTATACGAATACACATTAGAAAACAAAATTGAGAAATGCTCAATATAATTTCAACAGACCTTAATGATAGGGCTACTAACTTCGCCATTACCAAGAAAACGAAGTGAGTGCCAACCCTGCATTGCACGCGCTGCAGCATCCCTACGAGTTCTACCCGATCCAGAAGCCTGAATATCACCAGCAAGCAAAGAGAATGTAGGCATGAGGACAACAATGAAGAAGACAGGATGCTCAAAGCCTAAGGTGAAAAAAGAAAAAGGAAAAATAGCATGTCAAATGCGCAAAAGCTCTTAATTACACAATCAGGGAAAAATTTCATAAACGAAGAAGGTTAGCCATGCAGACAGGGTTCATGTTGATTGCACCCACTTGGGAACCAGGAATGTTCTGCTGCTCATAAAGTTATTCCCAAGGGCACTGTATGGCCCACTTCTATATAGGTTCTTGCATGGCTGACGATGTTGGGAGAGTCCCCAATAGAGGAGTTTTCCAATGCCAAGTAGCATTTGGGAGTTTGAGTAAAATAAATTGAGTTGGAACCTGATTCTTAAACTTATGCTACAAGTTAGGAAAGTCCCCTTCTTCGTTAGACCCTCACAGGAACTTGACGCTGAATTGTATATCAAAAACATTTCTTATTGTTAAATTTTAGTATCACAAATAAATAAAAGGGCATGACATACATGGTACCTTGGTGTCAGTCTGGAAAAGAAATTCATGTCCACAAAAAGTCCCACATTATTGAGCCAGATATAGATTATATACAATATCTGATTCCACCAACATTTGGACGTTGTATTTAATGGTCCATTGAAAAAAATTCCAAAAACCACCAAACTCTCAGAATGATCAGCCTTCGTAAAATTTAGTCCACATTAATTCAACATAAATAAGTTCAGGAGGTTGGCTCAGTTAGCCTAAACACTGACCAAAGGAAAACCAATTCAAGCTAGACACATTGAAAACTCTACCACCACAAACATTTTATGATTCCTCTGAAAGGGTTTGGGAAGAACAAAAGACTGTCACAAGCTCTGGAATAGTGCTATATGGCATGGGTACAAGGCGTGGAATGCTAGAAAATTTAACAACCACGATCTATCAAAGCAACTTTTGTGGGATCAAATAGTTTTAGCTTCATTATGAGCTTCATATAATGAGTTCTTTAAAGAGTTTCTCTAGCTAAAGTACAAAGAGACTGGAAAACCATAGTGTGCCTAGTTTAGTTAGCTTCTTGATCTTTTTTTAGGAGAATGCCTCATCTTTCTTCTGCACTTGAGATAATTTCTCTCTTTCAAAAAAAAATATCATTTTATCAAATAAAACACCAAAAATATTTCTCCACGCACCTTGATACATTACAAACACGTGTCTTCAAATACGCTAACCAGTTTAACAGGGTAGTAACAAAATAATAACACCAAACAATAAACAAGAGGTATCACAAAGTTATGATCTATATTGAAAAAAACAATCCCATTCGAGAGTGATATTTACCTGACTGTTGGCATGCATAGGATCTGACTTGGGTAGCTTGGGTGGCTTCGGAAGCTTGGGCTCAGACTTGGAAGCAATAGGGATGTTAGGTTCACCAGCATTGGTTATGTGTCTTTCATAATCAAGTAGCACCTGATGAAGCATGTGCACCATTGTTTATATATACGAATAATTTTAAACAGAAACTTCACTACATGAGCAGACAAAACACAAAATAATAGCCAAAAGTTTTGTAGCCAAAGGAAGATAACCAAAAGATCAAGGGAGAAAACGGAGATACCATATTTCAGGCTTTTAAAAGATGTCCAAGTTATATAGCAGGTAAGTTGATCTACTTGTGAAACTTACCAATCTGATGTGACTCGATCCCAGTAGTACATCCTTATTTCATGCACTTAGGAGCCAAAATAATGACATTGCCTAATTCTTTTACTATTAAAAAAGGAAAATAATAAGATCCCCTGCCTAACCACGCACATCATTCGTTGCACCAATACACAAACATTCTATCCTACGTCTGTGCACAGATGTAATTTCCTTTTTCACTAATTCTTTTCAAACTAATCTACTTAATTGTTGTTTTCATACTGATTTTGTGTATCTACAAACCTTTTACTTTATTTATTTCCCCCATTTTTCTTGTTTTAACCCATAAAATTTTCAACTCTTCATTTCCTCTCCCTAACTGCTCTCCCCTCTTTTGGCAATATTTGCTCTTTCTATCTACACATATTTCCATCTCTACTCTTCTCTCCTCTTTAATAGAACTAAGGATAAAGCTACTCTCTAACAGTATTTTAGAGTCATTTTGAACGGCAGTTTTATATGTATATATCATCAAAATTTCACAGTGAAAAAAAAAAACACATAGAAATACCAACTCAGTGAACAACAACTTAATGCTTGGCTGATATATAAACTACAAACATGTATACAACAACAACAACAGCAGCAGCAGCAACACCCAAACCTCAAACCCAAACTAGTTGGGGTAGGTTATATGGATCCTTTTGCGCCATTCTCATCAATCATATACCAACACCATAAACATGTATACATAGTTATATTTACACACTTATATACACATCTGTGGAAAGTTCAAACTACCTAGTAAGTAGCAATTAACAAATAGAATGCACAGGGTAAAGTGATATATGCACATGTTATCATGATATAATCACCTTCTCATAAAACCCTCGAAATGTCCACGAAACTGTAGTGCATGTCCTGCAAAAGCAGCAGAAAGAGGGGAAAAGACATTAAAATATGGACGAACAATGTAAGGGTCATTTTTTTCTGGAAACAAAGGGAACATGATAAACATGTGGGGCGTCATTTGATACATGGTTAACTGCAAGTCTTAAAGAACTAATAGAGGTCATATAAAGCAATATTATGAAAATCAATCTGAGTTTCCATGATGTGTCAATAACTAATGCCTTTCCAATTTCAGTGTTCAGCACCAAAGCGTTCGTTTATACAGATACTTCATCTGGTTTTTCTCTGCTTTTCTGTCCCAGCATCATTAATATATTTCCTGAATTCTTGTTCCATATGTCCTAGATTAGCCATCTCATTGATATGCTTGCAGGGCAAAGGCCTTCCTTAAACATGCTCTCTGTCGTAACAATTATATCCAATCAGTTTTTATAGAAGTACCATCCTATCATCTCTTACCAATTAAACCAAGTTAAATTGGCTTAACTTGGCAAAAGAAGTCGGTATACGATGATTTTGATCTTCTAATACTCTTATATATTTAATTACCCCAACAAAAAATCTCTTTTTTACAACTCAACAATAAAGGTAAAATGTAGGTTGGAAAGCACTAAGTCTTCTATAATAGTTAGGTAATGTTTGCACCTAGCTAATAGGATCTATAATTGTTAATTTTCAAATCTGTGTAAATGTTTCATGGAATTGGATAGGTTCCTCACTATCACCTATGGCTGCAGACATGTTCCATACTTTTCGAATCCAAATTTTTGAGACTGTTTTCCACATGCTAGTTTAAGGAAGCTGCTAGAAAATAAATACAAGATACTCTGAAATTTAAACACATGAAAAATGCTTGATCTTGCAACAATGAATTACTTGAACTTTGTATTTAAATATGGCAACATATATTGTTCCTTACTTTGGGGGATTAAAGGACTCTCCAACTAGCCTCCACAGCTTACATGAGGTCACCTATTAATCAGAAAGAAGCCAGATACATGATCTTTAGAAACAGACTCCAATAAAATAAAAAACCTAGGGAAACAATCTCTGCCAATTATAAAAAATGAGATCAGCTAAAATTTGATGACAAACCCTGGAAAAATTTCTTTTAAGTAAGATATTTTGATACAACATGAGAATGAGAAACGCCACTTGCTTTTAGGTAAGATCCCCCCAGTAGCTAACAAAATTTTTTAAAATTTCCTGTATATGTAACATCAAAGAATGGCTCTGTTTCCATGAAAATACCTTCCAAATTTGTGCGTACACAGAAGCACGTAAATGCATTTGCATGCTTCCGTGGGTTACTGTGCTTCGCCCTAGCACTAATATAATCGAGCTTACTAAATTCACCAACAAAAACCAACCACAACTAATAACTAACAAAGAAATTAATTTAAGATGCAGGCAAAAATGGAAATGGTTTTAGATCATTGACAAGACGATGCGTACCTTGTCATAACCACCCAATCTCATCACAGATCTCCACAGCCTTATCACCATAAGGTGGTACATATTAGAAAAGAAACTCTGAAAAAGACATTATTCTCAAATGAACAACATGAAACTTGTTAAGTCATTAGAAACTTACTTTAGACAGTTTAAGAGATCTCCGTAGAACTTAGGAGGTTTGAACTCCATGCCCATCTCTCTAAAGAAACTATGAAGCTCAATCAGAAAATCCTTTTGCTCCTCTTCTGTACCCGATTCACTACCACCACTATTTTCATTCAAAAGAAAAGAACGCCTTGGTGTTGAGTTTCCATTAGTTTTGGGTGTGGACGTATCTGTTTTGTTCTTCACAGCATCTGATTCTCTCTTGTTATCAACTTTAGCTTCAGTGTCTGAAGATCCAGCCTGAGGTGCAGCAGGTTCGTTATTCTCTTTAGGAACTGCCCCAGTATCATGACCAGATGTATCTTCAGCGGGTTTAACAGTTTCAAGATGACTACTTGAGATAGCACATGTTTCAGGTTTCAAATTAGTAGATCCATTGGCTTTGACATATTTCGCAGATTCAACTTCAGGGGTGACTAAGCTTTTTTCAACATCTAGTGGGGCTGGGGAAGCAGAATCTTGATCAGGCTGTTGTGGACTGGATTGCAACTCCACAGTGCTCTCATCAGCAGCTGCCTCGGCCTTAAGTGAAGGATTCTCATTATCCAAGGGGACATCAACAGTGTCAGGTTTAGGAGGCGGAGAAGCATTATCAACTTGTTCAACAGGGACTTCTTGTGCATCAATCAACTGCTCTGTCTCTAGAGTACCAGGCACTTCCCGTGCTGATCCATCCTCATTGTCCTTGGTATTACTCATCTCTAATTCTACGCACAGCATAAAAAAAAAAAGAAAAAAGAAAACCCTCTTATTCCCAGATAAAATGCTAACATAAAGACCCCAACTTTTTAAAGAGGCAAACGAGTTTAAAATCACAATTAACAGAGCAAGATTGATGCTTTATCACTCAAAATCACAACTTTTAAACACCGCAAACCTACATTTTCTCCATTCTTTCAAAGTTCAAACCCTAATTTTCTCTTTTCCCGTCAGTTCTCCTCTTAACAGCCCACATGCACACACAATCATAAAAAAAGAAAAAAACAAAAAATAAAATCTTTATATCTACAGCTACGGGTTGCTAACCCTAATTTTCATTTTAGTGCCCATTTCACTATAGCTTAAAAAAAAAAAAAAAAAAAAAAGAACTTTAACCAAAAAAGGCTAAAACATAAAAAAAAGGAGAGAAACTTACCTGCAATGCAAAGGGAAGGAATGGTTGAGCAACAAAACCCGGAGGAGGAGGTGAAATCTGCTCTCTAGTGATTCTTTTAGTCTTATTATATAGCAAAGAAACAAACATAAAGAAAACCCTAAATCTTGAATGCTCTATCTGGCCTTATCTGTTGATTCTGAAAATATTTGTGTGTTTTTGGCAAGGTATTTATGAGTACTCTATCCCTCTGAAAAAAAAAATCTCTCCCCCTCTCTCTCTCTGCGTTTTCTTAGTTTTTTTACAGAACAGAACAACCTGACTTGCCTGAAACAGATAATACCACACGTGTACTTTTGTGAAAGTATTTCAAGATTCCTTCTAAATATGATGTTGGATTTGTCTTACTGTTGACTCAGCCATTTCGGTTTCAAAATGGCCCAAAACAAAAGTGGGTTTGTCTTGATTTGTATTTTACTATGGCCCATCCAATAGAAAGAATGGACCTGGCCTGCTGAAATTGAACACATGTATATATTCATATGTGAAATTCTAGATCAAAATTTTGGATTAATAGTTGTAAAAGTCTCTTTACTCTTTCTTTTATTTTTATCGTGTCTTTTTATTTTTTTCCTCTTAAATTCGTCTATTTATATTTAATTTTTATGTTAATCTCATCCCTCGTCAACTTTTGGACTAATGATAATAATTTTTTTTTGTCTTCATTCATTCATCTACTCTATTTTTTTTTAATTTTTTAAACTGAATTTCAAAAATTAAAAAATTAAAAAATACTAAAAAAAATGTAAAGATATATTTTTTCATTGTCTCTAAAAATAAAAAAATTATAATACTTGAAAAGAGTCTACGATAATTTACTTATTTTGATTTTATAAATTTTTTAATTTGAATCAAATTTTAGTCAAATTAAAAAATTCATTAGTGGTGGGGTACAATACTAAAAAAAAAAAAACAAAATTATATTTCCAATTTTGGATCAAATTAAAAAATTTATAAAATAGAAAATAAGTAAATTACAATAGACTCATTTGAGCTATTACAAAATTATAAATATCATTTAAAAGTTTAAAATTTTAATTAAAACCCGCTTCAATTTTTTTATAAAAAATACTATAAATATTTTATTTTATATCCAAAATTTGCTTACTATCATAGAGCCAAATTTGCCTACATCAACCCATGATTCAAATTATTAACTCTTTTTTTGGATTAAAAAAAATGAAGATAAAAATATTTTTTTATTCAAAATATTTCTTATGGGCTTATATTTATATTTGTTTCCATTTCATGTAAATTACAATTCAACCGTCATGGGAATCACGTTTTCATTCATGGGCAGAAAGCCTAAAAGGAAAGTAAAATTAGGTACAAGTTTGATTGATTTATCTATTGAATTGGAAAGATGAGTTGTAAGTCAGGATTTAGGTTGGATTTTTCTTTTCATTTAATTTTTTTTCTTTTTTGGAAGGATTGAAATTGAAAAATTCTTTTACATCTAGGTTTAAAACCAATCTAAATCCAATAAAATGATATGTTTTGGGAGATCAATAATAAACTTTTTTTTATCTTGACATTATGAAATCTTTTAGAGTAAATTATAAATTATTCCCTCTTGTTTAGAAAAAAAGAAGAATTAATTAGTTTATTTTTTAAAAAAACTAATCATTTAGGTGGTGTTTGATAAAATTAAAAATTAAGTGTTGAATATGTTAAGTATTGAATTTTAATCCTAAATAATTAAGTACTCGGATATATTACATACAAGTCTGTTTGGTATCTACTAAAAATTAAATACTAAATATAATAAGGTTATTTGATAAATATTGTTATTGAACATATTAAAGTTATAGATATATGTAAATGATATTTTTTAACACAAATAATATATATATATATATATATTTGTGTGTATAAATAAATAAATAAAATTCAATAAAAATGATTATTAATAAAAAATTAAATAGGATCTAAAATTTTGAATTTTTGAATACTTAGCTTGTTGGTGTTTGTTTCCATGGAAATTAAAGAAAATTTTACCCCGAAGTATTTTACAGTGGGAATTAGATTATGCTACATAATATCACATGGCATGTCGTGGTAAGTTCATGTGATGATTTATGTTGTTGGTCTTTGCAAAATGGTTTCTCTTCTTTTTATCGGAAATCCTTGCTCGCTTCCTTTGCAAGGTCAAAGGGGTCACTAACCTCTGAATTTTGGGAGCCTTACGGACCTTCTTTCCAGATTTTGTTATGGATGTTCTCCATTAAGTGTTGACATGCTTGCGAACATCATCCTCCTTTGAAAGATTAAAGAGCTTGTGGATCTTTGATGCTCTCTTTGGATCTCTCATTCTTGGTTACTCTGTGTCGGTGAGCCTAGGAAGATCATTGTCACCTTTCTTCACAATTACCAAGTTCAATACAGAAAGGTCCTGACTAACAATACAGACACGCACAGACTTACTCTTGCATTCTCCATTGCGCCTTCCATATCCACGAAAGCAGGGGATCCCTTTGTGAAGCAAGAGATGAACGCGGCCAAGGGTTAGCACTCCCTGCTTAATGGGAAATCCTTGCTTATCACAACCTCTCATGATTTTGAAAACATAGCCTTTAAATTCCTCTCCAAGAGCGTCTCCGTTGACCTCCTGTGAAATCCTCTTGTCAAAAAGAGCCTGAAGCTTCTGGTCATCGTCGATTCCGAGCTTTTTCTGGCGTCTCGTCATAGGATTTGTGACGTTGAACTTCATGTCAGGGAGACAAAAGAGATGCTTGGTTTCCTTCTAACCAGTAACTTCTTGAGGATAATTGGACGTAAGCATGATGATGAAGAAGATCTCCTCTATTTCAACTATGGAGATGGTAGATATTGTTTTTTGATTAGTTTGTATAATTAGGATTATAAAAATATAAGAGAGCTATATAGTTATTTTAAAAAAATTCAATTGAATGTGTTAATCAAAAAATTTTAAGTTAAAAACTTTAACTTACCTAATTAATTAGTAGATTTTGACGTAATTTTAAATTTAAATATGAGATTATTTAAATTATCAAACAAACTTTTTATATTAAGTACTACAACTTAGTTTTTTAAGCTACTTAAATAGGTTATTAAACACCCTCTTAGTTTCTCACATTTAATTCCATTAATAACTTAGTTTTTTCATTCGTATTTTATTAGATTAGTGATTTTTATTTTCAAAATACCCTTTCTTTGATTTTTAAAGCATAAAAAAATGACAATTTGAAAAAAAAAAAACCTAATCTAATGAAAAACTAATGAAAATACTAAATTATTAACTAAATTAAAACCTAAAAGACTAAATAATTAGTTTTTAAAATAGAAAAAATTAATTAATTTATTTATCTAAACAAGAAGGATTAATTTATAATTTACTTTTTTTCAGTATTAAAGAGAGAGCACTAAGCCTAATATCAAGCAGAAGCAACACTGGTACATCAACCATCAAACCCATATTTTATACATTTATGTTTGCTCATGAATGAGAAATTTTAAAATACATCATAAATAACTATTATATATTTACAATAGTTATTCTATGAGCTCATTTTTAAAGAGAGAGATAATAAAAAAAATACTCCAAGACTTATCAAAAGTGATAAGAATATTTTCACCTTAGCTCAAATTTTTTTCTTTTTTTTCGTTTATTTGTGTTTATCTTTCTCTGAAAAAGTAAGTATTGATAACTATTTTATGAGTAATATAAAATTTCTGGCTCAGGAATAACTATACGCGTGACAATAGAACCCTCCATACGATTACTATCAAACCAAAACGATACGTTATCCCTTTTGCCAACTCACCAAGAGAATCAATCTTTAACAAATTTCACAGTTGCAAATAACCTTCCAGATAGAAGAAGCAGAATTCAAAGGACTATGCTGAAACAAATCACCATCCTATAAACATTTTGAGGTCATAATTTGAACCCATAACTTGACAGGATCATGAAGTAGAATCCAAACAAGTTTACTAATCATATCAGTATTGGCATCACTGGCATAATTTCAAACAATAATGAAAATAATTAATTTATTTATCTAAACAAGAAGGATTAATTTATAATTTACTTTTTTTCAGTATTAAAGAGAGAGCACTAAGCCTAATATCAAGCAGAAGCAACACTGGTACATCAACCATCAAACCCATATTTTATACATTTATGTTTGCTCATGAATGAGAAATTTTAAAATACATCATAAATAACTATTATATATTTACAATAGTTATTCTATGAGCTCATTTTTAAAGAGAGAGATAATAAAAAAATACTCCAAGACTTATCAAAAGTGATAAGAATATTTTCACCTTAGCTCAAATTTTTTCTTTTTTTTCGTTTATTTGTGTTTATCTTTCTCTGAAAAAGTAAGTATTGATAACTATTTTATGAGTAATATAAAATTTCTGGCTCAGGAATAACTATACGCGTGACAATAGAACCCTCCATACGATTACTATCAAACCAAAACGATACGTTATCCCTTTTGCCAACTCACCAAGAGAATCAATCTTTAACAAATTTCACAGTTGCAAATAACCTTCCAGATAGAAGAAGCAGAATTCAAAGGACTATGCTGAAACAAATCACCATCCTATAAACATTTTGAGGTCATAATTTGAACCCATAACTTGACAGGATCATGAAGTAGAATCCAAACAAGTTTACTAATCATATCAGTATTGGCATCACTGGCATAATTTCAAACAATAACTTTATATAACGTAATGATCGTTATATAATAGATTTCAGCATGTTTGTTACCGTTATAGAAAATATAATGACATTTCGTACAAATAACGAAATTATTATATGTCATTATTATTATATAGGGCTGTTATTTTGTAAATAAAATTGTTATTAAAAAAATATGATTCTTTGTGTTTTATTATTCTTTATGTGATATTAACCTATTAGAAATGTTATTTTATTCTCAATTAATAAAATTGTTAAAATATGTGAATTGAAAGAAATTTATTATCAGCTATTAGCATATTAATACATTCATGATATTGATTATCATAACCCTTATTTCCTATTGCTGTTGCAGCCATTTTTACAACCATATCTATGATCTAAAACTATGATCATGAGCTTGATGAAACTTAGACCACCAACATTTTTAGGCGAAGTCACAATCTTCCAATAAGATGAACTCCACGATCACCGTCCCCTTTTCCCCAACAGAAATCGTTTAGCTAATTTATCAACCACACCACAAACAGCTCTAGGACGTGAAGTAGTTTGCATATATAGCATAAATAGAAACAGTAGAAATAATATTGTGCACTAATTAAAGTCATTCTTCCTGCCTTACTCAAAGCCAGACGGTGCTTGACCTTCTCGAAAACATCCTTGTAAGTGGATTTGGTAACCCTACCAGCAGCAAAGCAAAACTATAAGGTATTTTCCCATATCATGAGAAAAAATTGATCTTATCAGTTCTACTCAAGTTGCCTCTTCTTTCCCGATTTGCAAAAAGACTAATAAAACCTCGAGACTTTGCAATATTCCTCCATACCTGACAAGGCACAAAATTCCTGAGGAGTAAGCATGATGGCTCTAGCATTCCCAATGGAAGCTTTAGCAAAAAAACATAGCATCATCAGCAGAGAAAAGATGTGAAACTTTCGGCCTATCTTTAGCCAGACAAACTGGCACACATTCTCTTCTACTAACTCTGTGCTTAATATAAAAAGATAGCTTTTCCACGCGCAATACAAAAAGACAGGGAGACAAAGGATCCCCATATCGAAGACCACGACAAGCAGAAAAGGCTTCTATGTTTTTGGCATTTCATATAATAAAAAGAGATAGCTTGGAAGTGGAAAGGCTTGGAATTCAGGGACGAACAGATCCCACTATGGTTTCAAGAGAAGAGGACTATGATGTGAATTTAATCTAGGAATATGTTGAATCGAAGCTTTACAAATGTTGCCAATCCATATTGCAGAGACGTCTATCCAGCCTATCATTAATTAGTTGTATACACTCCATAGTATTTTTAGCATAAGTAAAGACATTGCCTTTATACCAACAAGTTGTTATTCCGGTGATAAAAAAAGATGAATTTTCTGCAAACGTATAAGATTCGAATTCTAGAATTGTATTTGTTAAAAAAGATTAAATATTTTCGCTCTCATTTTGCATCTTCAATGATAAATGGGAATTGCCTTTATAACTAAAGTCAACAATGAGAGTGTTAAGCATCAATTCTCCTCTTAAAGGCAGCATCTTTAGAGAGAAAGCGGGCCTTCCCTTTCCTCACAAGTTTCTAGATGATCATTAAATAAAAGAGATGAACCCTAATGGACCCAAGACTGCAAACAAGATTTATTGAAAGAGATTAATGATCCCGTAGCTTCTCTGTCACAGATTCCACCAGACTAGCTAAATAACAGAACGGAACCAATTAGTGCCATTATAAGTAATATCCTAAGCAATACACTGATCATGAATGTGAATAACAGCTGCGGAGATTGTGTTTAATATATTATTCGTTTTTCACAATAATTATGTAGTTTTTTGTTCCATAATTATTTGTTTCTTAATTACATGATTTAAGAGACTAATTAATAATTATTTAAATTATAATTATGTATTTTTTTAATTCAATTAATAATTTTTATATCATTTAGTTATTTTTCAAATGTGATTCACATGTTTTATTTTATAGAGATGATTTAATATATTAATAAGTATTTTATCAATTTGCTCAATATTATAAATAAATGAGCTATTATAATGATAATAATATAATAGATTTTTTAGCATTAAAAATATCTTAAATTATAATTTTTTGAACACTTAGAAACATGTACTAATTATTTTTATACATTTCTAATTAATAAAAAATTCACTATAATACAATACATTATTAGAAAAATTATTAAAAACAACTTAGAGACCTAACCCGTTTTATAACAACAGATTTAAAACTTAACATATTAATTTGAGAGGCATTTTCATTTTTTTTAAAAAAAAAAACAGTCATAAGCTGATAATATGAAATTTTCAGGTGGTTTGGTCGAAAAGATTGACCGAAATGATAAATTGAAAAATTTACTTGACAAAGTTGGCTCATTTTAAAATATAAAAATATATTGAAAATTCAAAAGGTCAAATCAAGCCATTAGCTGTTTTTAAGAGTCGGATATTTTTATATTAACTTTTGCATATTAAAATTAAATTCCTTATTAATTATACGTTTTAAACAAATCATCTATACTTGAACTGAACTAATGCATTTAAAAGCTTTATTTTCTTTCAAACTCACATAAATTGTACCCGAAAGCAAAATATTTGGAAAAAAAAGCCTAATGTGTTGCACCTAAATAAATTAAACAAGTGCTAACGACTATTAAAACATAACAATTGATGTTGTTAATTGGTTCACGCATGATCGTAGCTATCATCAGAAGGATTTTAAACTTTGGTCTTGATATAAATGCAGAGTGGTTTTTCCAGATAAAAATTTAGTGTGGTGTGAAAGCAATATTTTCTGTCGGAGTCTGCGATAGCCTATCTATCTTTCCATTTTTTTTAATTAATTAAAAAAAAAAAGAGTTCAAAGCGGAGGTACGAGGACTGTTCTGTCAAGACATGAGAAATTCGAGACTTCAGAATATTACAAAACGTTGCAAAATGAGAATTTTTAAGAGCAAGAGATATTTGAACAGAAAAGGAAGACCTTAATGATTCTTGACTATGACAGGTACAGAATCTACATCCATGCATACATCTAGTCAGAATTATCTGAGAAAGAGAGGTGAAGTTTTTGAAAATCATGCGAATTACAGACCCGGCCCACACAAAATAATACTCATTGAGCAACTATCAGTCAACTTGTTTCCTCAACCACAATTATTGTCTTTCTCTTAGAGAAAGAGGACAATTTGATGATGATCTCTGCCTCGTTTGTTACCTATTTTAAAGAGAAAAAGATGCCCCAGATACCAAATACTAACCAGGATCCTATTAGCAAACATATGTAGAGAAAAGAAGTTGCTGAAATTCTTGCCTCCAGGAACATATCAGTGGAAGCTTGAGTTTGCGTAGATCGAAACTTGCAACAAGGTATTTATATTATGCTTATTACAATAGTTAACACTGGAAATGATTCTGTATGTGTTGCAGAGAGTTAGGATTTAGTGATAATCTCAAAAAGTCTAAGGATAGAGTTATTTCTAAAACAGGCTATGTAAGGTAATTTTCGGGTTGAATTCAAGTTCCACTCAGTTGTTCTATCATGAGTTGCCTCAAATATTGCATTAGGATTTAGTAATAATCTCAAAAAGTCTAAAGATAGAGTTATCTCTAAAACAGGCTATGTAAGGTAATTTTCGTGTTGAATTCATGTTCCTCTCAGTTGTTCTATCATGAGTTGCCTCAAATATTGCATCATCCATATTAGTTCCATTTTTTCGGAATTTGTTTAAGGTCAAATTTTATTCTTTATATCCTCTAATAATCCTTTGTACTTGCCTCTCATAAATGTTCTAAAGGAATTGATTCTGCTTTGCTATATGAGTGTTCTGCAGAGAAGTTCTGAAATGGGATTTTTTGGTCTTTTTGTGGTGGCGTTAATGCCAGTTCTGAAAGTACTCTTGATTACTGGAACTGGCTTGTTTCTTGCTCTTGATCGTATCGATCTTTTGGGATCGATTGCAAGACCCTACTTAAATAATGTGAGTTCAATACTTGTACTTACAATATCCTGTGTTTTACTATCAACAGTTTTTTGCCTTCCATCTCACAGAAACAGGCAAATTCTCTTTGTGTATGTGCAGCTTGTATTCTACGTGTTCAGTCCATCACTTGTGTCTAGTCAGCTTGCTGGAACTATCACTCTTGAAAGTTTGGCTACCTTGTGAGTGATTTTAGTATGAATCTTCAGTTCTTGCTTCTACCAAATCATTCTTGAGCATTCTGCTGCTAACTTTTCGCATACTACTTTGATGCGGTGCTGTAGATGGTTCATGCCAGTGAATATCCTTCTGACGTTCATAATTGGCTCTATACTTGCTTGGATTCTCATTAAAATCACTAGAACTCCACCACACCTCCAAGGCCTTGTCATTGGTTGTTGTTCTGCTGGAAATTTAGGTAACCTGCTTCTCATTATTGTTCCTGCCGTCTGCAAGGAGTCAAATAGTCCATTTGGAGATTCAGCTGTCTGCTCTACTTATGGAATGGCTTATGCTTCTCTTTCTATGGCTGTAAGATTTTATTTTCTTTCTGTTACTGCAGAAAATCCTTCATCTGACACTATAACGAATTCAACTTTCGGCTAATGTTTTTAGGCTCCTTGCAGGTTGTTCGACTCTAATGCCAATTTCATTTTTGCTTTTGCTGTGAACTCTGATTCAACAGGTTGGAGCTATTTACATATGGACATATGTTTTTATTATCATGCGGATATATGCTGATACTGAGAGTGCTGAACCTGTGGATAAAAATGAACCAATAATGGATTCTGAAAGTTACATAGAACCCTTGCTTCCTTCAAGCAAAGCCTCTGGCTGCAATGATCATTCTGTTCAAGCTGAACTTCCTCACACTATGTCTGAGGGAAAAGTGAGATTTCCTTAGCATCTTATTACAAATGCTATTTATCATTTTTTTATATGCAGAAACTATTTTCTCAATACTTTATTTTGATTGAAGCTGACATTTGTGGGGAGGACTTTCGGTCTTGTCAAAAAATTTGCAGCAAATATCAACCTCAAGAAGGTGTTTGCACCAGCTACAATTGCTGCGGTACGCTCGAGATTCGTACTATCTGCATTGTCACTTTATGTCCTTTCATTAGTTCTCAATTTTGTTAGTAATTAGCTCTTAATTTTGTTAGTGACAATGCCTAATCAACCATGTCATTACTTTGTTTCTTTTTCTTTATTTTCTTTAGATTTGTGGGTTTATCATTGGGACAGTCTCTCCACTCCGAAAGCTGATGATCGGTGATAGTGCTCCTCTTCGAGTGATTCATAGCTCTGCATCTTTGCTAGGGTAATAAGTCCAATAATGGAATTTGTTTAGCTCAAGAAGATTGAAAGTCTGAATTTTTTTTTCTTTTTAAGGATTCATGTTTCACTTGTGTGTTATTTGACAAAGAGTTTATTGTTCAGGAACATACTATAATATTCTCATTGATCTTGTTTATGTCATTGTTCTGACCTGCAGAGAGGCATCAATTCCATGTATGGCCCTGATAGTGGGATCAAACCTTCTTAAAGGTAGTTCCTAAATTTGTCTTGATTGTTTCCTGCTATAATTGGCCAAATCAGATTTACATCTCATGATCTTTAATAAAACTTTCTTTTTTCTACTCTTTCAGGTTTAAAAAGATCAGGAGTAAGTGTATCAGTCATTGCAGGGATAGTAGCAGTGCGGAATATTTTCTTGCCACTTATAGGCATTGGTATCGTTAAAGCAGCAAACCATTTCGGCTTGGTTGGCTCAGATTCTTTATATCAGTTCATTCTTATGCTTCAGTATGCACTTCCACCAGCAATGGCCATAGGTATGACAGCTTCTTTAAGCTCTGGATATGGTTAATCACTGCAATGTACCTAACGTGCTTGCTTAGGGTTAGCAAATAAAAGTTGAAAGTTTAAAATATGATTTTTGAGCATGAAATTTTGCAATAATTGCTTCTGATAAATCATTTTGTAATACTTTTGCTGTTTCCATGAACTTGACAGGGGTTATCGCACAGCTTTTCAAGGCTGGAGAGAGTGAATGTTCTGTCATTATGCTGTGGTGCTATGCTGTGTCTGCCTTTTCTCTTACCCTTTGGTCGACCTTTTACATGTGGCTTCTGGAGTAACCTGTATTCTTGTCTTTTGTCACAACAATTCTTCATAAAAAATATATATTTTTTGATATTTTACTAAATATATCCAAATAAAAAATGGGTTGCTTCTTAAAAAAAGATTAGGATTACACCATATTTTCTTCTTTAATATAGATTAGTCAATATTACTTTTATTTTTATTTGAATTTTGACGAAAATATTTTTATTTTTTTATAATTGCATGTTAGGTTTGTTTTAATTGCATGTATTTTATTATTTTTAAATTATTATAGCATATATTTTTTAAACGTACTTTCAAAGTTTTAAGATGATTTATTTAAATAATAATAATTTAATTAATATACTATTTAAATTGTTTTAATTGAGTTTTTCTATAACATGTGTCATACATACATGAATGTAGCGTGTCACATCAGTTTACAAACTAATAAGGTACAACAAAATAACAATAGCAAAATAAAATAAAAAATTGAAACTATATATATATATATATATATATGGGCAAAACCCATTTCGTTACTATATGTCGCTGCCGTAGGCCCATAGAGTCCATTTCTTCACGTGGGATGGTCGGATAGATATACTTTACAGCCTCCGCTGAATTCACACTACTCCGTAGCATTTGCATGAAGCAAAGCAATATTGACAAAGTTACAGTAATTTCGTTCAAACATAAACATTTAATATTTATTTTTCATTTTTTTAAGTGAAATAATTTTTTAGGTTTTGAAAAACAACGACTTCCATATTAATAAATAGCAAGACCATACCCCTCGATTATATATATATATATATATACACTCGAGATTTATTATAAAAAATTTTCACATTTGCCACTATAATGGGAAAAAAATAGTTCTCTATAGACATGAACAAGAAGCTTATGTTGGCAAAGGCAGTCTATGCTATTATATTACCAAAAATAAAATTTAAAATATTTAAATAATGTACAAATAAGGTAACTAATAGTAATAAAAACAACTTTCCTATATATAGATGCCAAATAAACAGTAATCCAATTGTCACCGATATTACTTATGTAGTAGTTGTTAATCCTTAATTACTAACAAGTTTTTGATTTAGTATTCAGCGAACTGGTTATCGGGTAAATTTTTTGTTAATGTATAAAATTTAAATTTTAAAATCGTATATATTGAAAAAGATTATATTTTGTCACTCCCGTCTCAAATATGATTCGTTATGTCTCTAATATGGCATTAGAGATATGTTAAAAAAAAAAAAAAAAACTACTAATACTTATTTCATAAAAGAAAGATAGGCAAAAAAATGATAGGAAAATAAAAAAATGAAATTTGAGCCAAAATGGAATATTTTTATCATTTTTAGTAAGTCTGAATATGATTTTTTTTTTTTTTTTAAGTTTATCTCTTTCTTTAAAAATAAGCCCATGAAATAACTATTATCAATATATAATAATTATTCTAAGAATATTTTAAAATTTCTTGTATTTTCAATCCTAAATCAATCTTCAATACGAATTTCTACTTTGTATATATTAAAAAAACAAAAACCTTTTCTAATATAAATATAAATATAGAACTGGACCACAACTCTTATTCCAACTACAAATGCGGTTACGCAAGAACCCCAAATCATGATAGAGACAACTTGAGTAGTTTAAAAAGTTGAAAAGTCAACGACTTATCTTTCAAGACCACGTAATGCCTTGCCTCTGCAATTTTATTTGTTGTCATTTTCTGATACCCTTTGTCCCCACATTCATTCATTCTCTTAAACTAATTATGCCTTTTCGCATTATTAAATACTTTAGTTGAAAAAAAAGAGTGTAATAAGAAAAATTCAAAAACGTGAATAATAACATAAAAAAAAATCAACCCAACATGGCGATCCGTGTAATTGAAAGAACTTCAGCCCAATTACATTTTTTTATATGTGTTTTTCATGATATATATATATATATATACTTTTGTTGTTTACTCCTAATAAATCCTTGTTTTTTTTCATTTATTTTTTTCTATATTTCTTCACTGTTTGTTTCCTTTCTTATCTCAAGGCATAAATGTGACATCACAGCTGGTTAATTTATGTTGAGAAATATAATTTGTCAATTTTTAACACCGTTATTAAACTAATGTTAAAGGAAGGATAATTCGTGACTAATAACTGAAAATAAAAAATTGTGTGACCGAAATTGGGATAAAAGGGCAAATATGATCAATTTTTAAAACGACATGGATCATGAAAGGAATTTACCCATTTACAAATGCTACTAATTATAAGAAGAAAAAGAAAGTGTGCAAAAGCAAAACCATATATTCATATTCCATATTTATTTTTGGAATCAATAATTTAAATAATAATAATAAAATAAATATTTTTTTAATTAATTTGAAGTTAATAATTTAAATTTTAGAAATATTATAAAACCTAACCAAATAAAACATGAAAATATGCCAATTATGATGGATTGTTTACGATATTTGCACTTTCATTTCCGTAGATACTTTGTATCATCATTTGATGACAAACAACTCTTTTTTTCAGCACTATTAGACATAAACAGCTTCTTCCTTTCAGGTTATTTATTTATTTATTTTGTAGTGCTAAAATATTGTATATATATTATATTTAAATGTATACTAGGTCTCAAATCATTAGATGAGCTACAAGACTTAAGAAAACCCATCAAGTTCTTGAAATATGTTTATCGGCTAATCTTATTTAAAGGTTTATTGGGCTAAATCCACTCAAAAATGGACCAAAAGTCAACTAATTAGGTTCAATGCACCTATAAAAGCCCCATTCATGTATAAGAAATGCAATAAATTATTAAACTGGAGCATTCTCCTAAAACGATAAAAAGTAGACTTTGAAGTCCGATATAATGTGAAAATCTCGTTTGAAAGAAGGTAGGTGGTTAATCATTAATATACAAATAGTTAGATGACTAACAAATTCTCTAAAATAATAAAGTACCGACTCCAGATAATTAGGAAGAACGTGGAAGATCACGAGCATGGAAGAACAACAAAGTAAAATACTACAATGCAAGAAAAAAAGATACGAATGCATTGCAGAGCAACCAAAGAGAGACATGGAGCACAATAACCTAAGTTGGAGGAAGTGGCCTCTTTTTGGAGGTCATGAAAGAGCATGAGTCCTATAAGTACTAGTTGAAGCCTAAAGGAAAGAATCACACAATAATACAACAAACAGACATATTCTTGCAAGTAGCTCCACGAGCATTATCAATTATAAATTTCTAAGCATTAGCTCCTAAGCGACATATTTGTAGCCTATAGCTTGTTGAAAATAAGTAGCAGATGTTAATTAAGTAGACAATAATTGTCCTTCATCGGTTTGTTAGTGTTCACTTCCACCATCCTTTACAGTTCTTCCATTCATTGTTATATCTTGAGTGCTATTTCGTGGGCATTCATCAATTTCATTTACTATGAATTCATTCAATTAAGCATTGTAAAAGATTATAGTATTGCCACCGTTCTATGAAATTTTCAGTTTTTATATCTATTGCAAGCCTTAAATTTTAGTGTTTGATTATTTAAATTTATAGTTTGTTGCTTCAATATTGTTATTGAGGTTGCATACTAAATTAGAAAGTTTGAATTTTGCTTTAATTCATAGCTTGTTTCTAGTTATTGCCCTCAAATCTTATAATTCAATTAGTTTGGGAAGTCAAGATTTCTCTATAAGCGATCTCCAAGACTATTGCAACCCTTTTTATTTATTTAATTTTAGTTCATTTGCAACTCGAAACTCGAAAATCTCACAAATAATAATTATAATTTATATTTGCATGTTGATTTGGTTTATCTACTTGTAACATCGAGAGATTGATTACCATGCAAAATGCTTTCCAATCATTTTTTAATTCTTTTGTTACAAATTCCTCTTAGTTAAGGCCGGCACAAATGGAACAATAAATATACTCCTTTTTTTTTTCTTTCATAGAATACCTTTTTATACACACAATTGAATGCATAGAAGTACAAAACATTATTGCAAGTTAATAGTTTTAAAAGAAAACTAGCTGGTTGCATGCACTACGTTATGGGTCCGACGAACAAAATTATTATAAAATTTTATAATTTTTAATTAAAATCTTGTATTTAATTAATTTTTCTTTTTTTTTCATAAATTTTCTAATTAAAAAAATATGATCAATTTTTCTTTATACATTGATTCTTAAATAAAAAAATTATAATAATTTAAACTAAAATATTAATCTAGAATTCAAAAAAAAAAAAATTAAAACATATTTTTTATAAGATTGTATCCAAAAAATAAACCTACAATTAATGTATAGACTTGCATAAAAATTAATAAACAAATAAAATTTTATTCTTATTTAATGCCGATGAGAAGATTATTTTTTGAGCTTATACACATTTGATTTATATATAATTATTCATAAAATAATCAATAATATTATTATAAAAAATTATATTTGAATTTTTTGATGATTCTTTTAAACAAGTATTTCAATAATTTTATTACAAAAAAAAAATAGATTTTATCGTATAAAAAAATAATAGTAAATGATTGATGTCATGTGTGTAGATGCATAGTTAATTTTTAATAAAATTGATGATTTAATCTTTTTTTATACACTATGAATATACTACCTTAGTGGGTTGAGAGTATATAGTATAAAGCGAAAAACATAAAAAAAATATTATAAATAAATTATCTAAAACATATCACATACATTCTACCCTCGCCGGACGGCACGAGAAAAAAAAGTACTACTAAATTCACCAATCAAATTGTTATTCTCACTTTTTTTCCCATACAATTATTAATGCATCATTCAACAATTATTAATAACTATTATATAATATGTATTAGTGGAGGGTGTAGTGATAATTTTTTGAAAAAAATTGGTGAAAATAAAAATCTGGTTGGTGAATTTGCGATACAAAAAAAAAATCTATCTCAATTTTTTTTAAAATTCATAATAAAAAAATCAATAATTGAAAAAAAAACAAAAAAAAAAAGAGAAGAAAAAA